AGGTGAATAAATCAAGTCAAGTAGGCCGGAGTGTAATTTTTTATCTCATTCCAGTGACCATGCGTCGAATGTTTGATCAACACCGGAAATTGGCTCTCAGGTTTGAATTTTAACTTTATTGTCATAAACCCTGTAATGTTTGTAAATCTACTTTACAGGTAAAAAGGTAGTTACGTCCTTGATTATTATAGATTCAAGATTATCATTTACTTAGAATAATGCAAAAGTGGTAAACTAATTAAGTCTAACTAGAAATTTTAAAAATAATTTGTAGGACGGAGCAATGAAGGTAGTTATATATTCTTAATATATAAATTTTAAACGATTTTCCTAAAATTGATTGTATAATTTAATTAAAAGAGTTCTGTTTTTAATACGTTTATAATTCAGATGCATGTTTTATCTGCCATGTTCGAAACTCGGCTACTTGCAAACGATAAATTGAGAGGGGAACTTTCTTTGTGATGTGTATATTATGACAGTTTTCAAAGAGAAGGCGGTTGGCGAAATAAGTAAGGTGTTTTTGAGACATATATATTGATGTTTGACTATATTTGATCAATATAAATTTGAGTTGGAGAATCTAATGTGTGGATTCTTTAGTAAATTTTAAAAAATTTTTAGATATACATATACTGTTTAATGAGATTAAAAAAGATTTGGTTTATTAAGACACAGACTATCTCAACCCAAATACATGTATTGATCGGCAATACAAGGAGAAATATTCACTGGCTTCATGTTATTGTGTGAGATGATTTAAGCCATCATTGTGAAACATAGTAAAGCCAAAAACAATACTTTACTAAGAAATGTTGTGACTTGCATTCAGATAATTAGGTTACGGTATATGATTAAAGATAACTTGTTTTGTCGCATATTTTTGTTGCTGACAAGTTTTCAGCAACCATATCCACTGAATTCCCCAAATCTCTAAGGCATTTTACTAATATTAAGTTCAATTGCAATATGCATATGTGGATGTTTCTAAATAGAATTTTACTCAGTTATATTAAGTGTCAAATTGCTGTTTAACCAGATAAAGGGGGCGGTGGTACAGCAAATGTGACGTTCTTTACCTGAACAGTAAAGCTCAGTCAGAATTAGCCTAAAATTTTCAGTTTGTCGTTCTTGTGCAATCTTTGGGATTCTTTTTTTTTTCTCTGTAAAGAGATGTCAAGAGATGCTCGCACAGAGTATGACAATTGATGCATTTCTTTGTTAGGTTTGTCCAGTAAAACCAAGATATTGTTATTTTCCAAAACTTTCAATGAATACTATATTTGATAGATATGGTCAATGTGTAAGACATTTCCCTGTTACTTTATTTAGTGATTGGTTTTTCCTTACGAGGCATTTTTGAGGATTATTGTTTGTTCTTTTCTTGAATTATTGTTAAAGTGTTTAAAATAAAATTATCATTTAAAGAAGCAGCTTCAATTTATGCTTATATTTTGTATTGAACTTGAATTTAGAGCATAGTATTAATTTAGTGAAGTTCCAAAAAGTAATGTAATTTACACATTTCAAATTGGCTAACACGGATGTAAATTACATTAGAGCTAAATGCTGCAAAAGAATAGCTTATCACTGATAGCTGCATAGAATACTGAAACAGATCGGATTAATCGCTAAAAACATAGTATTAATAATAGCATTTTGTATCTTTATAATTTTTTAGTTACATGTTTTCACGTGTTTTTATGGAAATATTTTGCTCTGCTCGAAGCGGCTCGGCTTTAAATAAAGTAATTCAAGTCATTTTAAATGGACTTAAAATTCTACGGAGATTACCAAATACAGGTTTCTATAATAACATTATGCCTTAGGCTAGTTATTTTCAGTGATTAGTAATCGAATACTAAATCTGTTTTTAATTCCACAACAGTCATGCAATTATGGCTTGAATATGAATGTTTTAGATTTTTTAAACTAAGAACAATGTTTGTGAAGATAATCTATTTTTGAACTATTTTAGCCTCATGATTCGAGGATAAGTTTATTATAAATTATAGATATACTTAGTTGTTCAACTGACATACAATGTAAAATGTATAATATCCGTAGCGGATTATTGGTGCAAAATTTATATAATATTAATTATAACAAAAAAGTTGAATATTTCATTAAGTGTATTTTTGCTCAGAAGATGTGAAATTACATGACATTAGCATTGCAAATTTATCACATCGTCAAGTCCATATCTCAAAGGATAAAACGAGTATCAATTAAAATTGTTACTGCGTTATCCTTATAGTATCCTAACGAAAAGTACACATTTATGGGAACAATACTGAATGGTATAGTATCAATTGGAAATGTTATTGAAATTGTTTAATGAAGGATTAGAGTCAAGTCATTTATAGCCATGTGATATAAATATTATCAGTTTGCCAGTTAGTTGATGATGTTTTGATGGCTTGACTGCTTCTAGACCAAATAGGATGGTAGTTATTAATAATGTACCCAGAATACAAACCATAAATAGTGAAAATCACAGAGGAGTACATAGCGCACTTCGAGGGTTATTTAGATAAAATGTACTGCAGGAATTGTTCTATGCCCAAATGAATTTAACATTAAAGAGTAATTTGAGGGATATGTTATTTATTGTAACGCATGCTGAAAACATCATTGTTTTAAACTTTATCATGTTCGGAACGTAATTAAAGAATTGGTAGATATCGCGCGAATATTGTAAGTTTGGGCAAATTCATTTTCATTGTAATTGTTTTTCATTATACTTAATTAAAAAAGGAATAACAGAAACGCAGTATTGCAGAAATTAAATTAATTGTTGCTTTGATGTTGCATAATTTTTATATATATGATTTTAATTAGTTTCAGAATAGTGTTTGACCGAATTTCTCAGTATTTCATTACTCTGAGATACTAATATGTTGCAATAATATTAATAGCCTGTCCAAATATATATTCTGTTTACACAAATGGTCTCTATAGACATTGACTTCGTAGTCTACTACGGCCAACTTGTTGAATTGAAATTCAAAGTCTGTAAATAGTTTTGGGGCCATTATGATACTTGGTAATTGTTGGATGATATCATAACCATACAGCAGTACGTATCTTATTCTTAAAGGGACCTAAGTAGAGAAATTGAGTTTTAGATGCTTCGTCGGAGTCAGTATACGCTGAATGATCGATGATTTATCGGTAAATGTGTCGTCCTGAGTGCTGAATTAGTATCCTGCAAACATGGAATACATTATAATTTTATAAATCTGTTGAATCACGGCATCGTAATTTTATTAGTGGAGAAAAAGATAAATTATATCTTTAATTCAGAAAAATTTGAAGTAGATATACGTTTACATAAAGAAGATTCTTTCCATGTATAGTTTAAAATGAACATGTAGGATCTGATGAAGAAGTTTGTAAAGCCTCCCTGTTTTATTAGATGAATCTTAGTATCATGTTTGAATAACAGTTATCATATCAGATAATATGCATTCCAAATGGAATTATTGTGCAGTGAGTACTGAATTATTTATTTATGTTAAGTTTCTTCACATCAGGAAATTAGACATGCATTAATAACACTTCCCGCTACTCTAAGTGAAATTCTTAACATGATAATCCTTGTTTCTATCAATATTCCTAAATAATTAAAACCAGTGAACTAAATTGAATGCATATTATCTTTTCTAGATTGTGAGACATTTTATCATTGTCTACTAAATAGTGAACTAAATTTGACAGATTTTGAATTTAGTATTGTTATATCAGATCGTGGTGGGATGTACTCAAGCTACATCATATGGGTAAATCGCAAGTAATAAGATTCTAGAGGCGTGCGTATTGTTGATGAGTTTAATGAAATGTTGAATTTAATCATTACTTTGGCAAACCTTTATTTAAAACAGGCTTGCATAATTGGGTAAATATTTTATAAAATTTATCTATGAATTCTGATTCAATTTAAATTTAATTATTATTTAAAAACGCCTTTAATGACATGGTAAAAGCATGATTATTGTGGTTTAAAACTGTCGTCGGCTAGGTCTTGTAATTTTCTGTGTCTTTACGTAAAATATAACGGTTTATTAAAAGAGTTATTATCCTTATATTAAGGCAAAGGTGTTCAAACCTTTACAGTTGGGACGCTGACTTCTTTTTCTTTTGATTACAATCTACGAACTCAAGTGGGAAACTATGACGGAAGTTCTTTAAGCCGCTTTGATTGAATCGATTAATTTTCTTACTGTCTTGCTTTCGTTTGGGCCTTGTAGGTGTTTTATGTTGCCTGCTTAATTTAACACATCGAAGTACTTGGTAATGGTCATTAGGGCTATAGTTTTTGTACAATTTACAGGACGAATTTCTGTGTCATCTTATCGTTTTAAGGTTACATGATATGGTAGGAACTCACTTGGTGGGGTCCTGGCTTTCATCTAGAAAGATATGGGCTTAAGAAGTGAGGTTTAGGGCGCACGAAAAAGGTTAATTTCTAGTGGGTACATGACTTAAGACCTATACAGGCGGTATCTCTGTGTTATTTACGTTGTTTCATAGATTGTATGTATTACTTGTTTTGAATGTTGCATGTTTGTGAGTCTTCCTATTAATTCGTAACGTGTTAGTATGTTTCACCCCACGCTTCTCTCAATTATGAATACGTTTTTGTCACCCCTTGGTCTTTATTTTATATGAACGTGTTTTAGTCGTTACCTCATTATTTCAACACAAAGATTACTCCACTTTTTTCGCCGCCTATCCTCCACTCCTGATGTTGGTTGCGGTGCCTCTGAGATGCCTTGCTTGTGGTTGGTATTGGGTGTGGTCGGGGTGCGTCTGTGAACGTTGCCTTTGCCATGTTGATCTTTATTCTCGTCTTTTAACAAAAAAGTTCTTCTTCATCAGTAAATAAGTAAGTCTTATCTAAAATTATTAAACCTGCATTTATCTTGAAAGAATAAAGACATATTCGAATAAATAAATAAATGACAAACTCCGATCATTATAACATTTTATCTAATTTTAAGATGTAAACGACTGTGTAAACAATTACTGTGATTCAAACGGAGGAACCTGTAGAGATCAAGTTAACAAATATGCCTGTGACTGTTACCAACGTTATGAGGGAACAAACTGTAGTGTTGGTGAGAATGAATTATTTTGATTCAATTAGATTAATTTGTTTATATCTGTACTTCTGTTCATGTTTGTTTCAATTAATGTCGGATTTTGTGTGTGTTTGTGTGTCTTGATCTATAACAGGACAACGGAAATCTAAAATAACATTACCGTTATAGCTTTACATACTACATAACCCTATTCTTTTTAAGATCTTTGCCCGACTGTGACTTCTGATCTTACAGAATGCCCGACAGGTATGTTGATTTGCATTGTATAATTGCTAAATGATATACGAATTACGAAACTTTTTTCTTTTTAGGCCCAACATGGGGTAACCCCATTTGTTCGCTTCGTCACATTACCATTTATTGTTGGAGAACATCCCACAGTGGTTTTACATTCTTTTATCATGCATAGGAACGGGGTACACTAGATGTGAAACTATTAATGGGAAAGAAATAAAAACAACAATAACAAAAAAGACGATAAAAAACAACAACACACACACACACACACACAAACAACAACAACACAAAGAATCAAGGACGACACATGCATTCACACTCGCACTCACAACTTTATTAAAAAAATTAATGCATGCTTTTTTGGCTTGAATTATTTCTTAAATACATAAACTCAAAACTATACTTTTCAGAGTAGAAAAAGGATTTTCTCAGCTGACATTTTTCTTTTTGAAATAAAGACTTAAATTTTCTTAAATGACTCCAAATTTTATCAAACTTATTATTTATGATTTCTACTTTTGTGGCAGTCTTGAGGTTTTGTGTTATAAAGTTTTTCGCTCCAAACATTGATAAAGACAGATCAAGCATTTTACACTGAGATATTTTTTCGTTGGATAGATCATCTTTTACATTATAACCAAACATCATTTCTTTTTTACTCAAATATAAAAAGGTTCTTTATTTATTATAAGAAATTAGAAATTCATTTATATTCTTTTGACAATGGGACACAGCCAAAATAGGTGCTCAATGCTTTCAGCATCATTACTACAAAAAGAACATAAAGGACTTTCTTTATACTTAATTTTGCATAAAAGATTATTGGTTCTAATAGTTCTGTGTAAAATTCTTGTTTGGAACCATTGAAACTTGGCACATTTTGTCATTCTGAAAGGCATTTCAAATATAATCTTCCATTCATTTTCACTAAAAGCTAAATTAAGGTTTATTGTCTATTTTTTCGAAACCTGTCGGCTTTGATTTTTGTTTATTTAATTTATTATAGAAAGGTTTTGTCCATTTATGTCTGATATCATATCTGTAAAGTAAAACGGTATGTCTTGACCAATGTTTATCTGTGGGATGTTAGATATTATATCATAGTTCTCTAAAAATTGCTTTACTGATGATAGCATACCGTTGAAAATTTACATATTAGTTTGAACAGTGTATCTATTAATAAATTAATTATAACACAAGAACTTTCCATCAGATGCTTTAAGGTATTCTTTGTTATATACACCAGCATCGAACCTCGGTTTAAAATATACACTTTTTTAACCTATAAATATGTTATTGTTATAAGATAAAGGATGTTTTCCGAAAGAATGATTTTCTTTTTGAATTAATTCTATATATCTTGATAACGCTCAAAAAAAAATTGTTTGTTTATCAAAGTAAAGGTTTCCGCAGTGAAAATATTTTTACCTATCTGGTTTGTCGTAAAGAATAGTTTTCCTTATTCTTTTAAACCATGTTATTTTTAATGCCATGATAAAGGCAGAAATATTTATCAGCTGCAAGTCGCCCTCAGCATAGTTTTTTAAATAACAGAAGTCTTTATTTGTTACATTTCCTTGCCAAATAAAATAAATCATAAACATTTTATTTAATACACTGATTACATCTTCAGAAGGGTTTGGTAGTGAAATTAATAAATGATTTAGAGATGAAATCAAAAGAGATTTTAACAGCAATAGGTGTGACAATTCTTCTTTTCCAATGTTGAATAACCTTTCGAAAATTTTCTATTCTTTCGCTATAGTTTAAATCTATAATTTTATTTAAGTCAACATAAAAATTTATGCCCAACATTTTAAATTGATGTCGAATTACATAACTTGATATTTCTTATAAAATCTAAAAGAATTACAAGACTTGAACATTGAATGTATACATTAAAAGAAATATTATATTGTCATTTTGATGTGGAAACCTTTTGGTTTATATGTTTTGTGTTTTTTTTTCGGTTCTAGTCGGTTGTCATCCTAGCTCATGTTCGGGTACTGGTGTATGTTTGAAAGGTGGTCAATGTTTATGTCCGTTGGGATATTCTCCTGACGACAACTGTTCTAAAAGTATTTAAATTTTATTATCATTTAAAAGAAATGCGATCCATTTAAATCTGATTGAAAAGCTTAAAAAAACTTTCTTAATGTTCTTCAAAACCAAATGACAATATTTCAGTTAACAATTATTCCTAAATACAATCAACAAATTGATGACTGAACTGGCAGCTTAATGTCTTATCGTTGTTGCTTAAATAATGTCTTAAACACATTTAAAAAAAGAAAACTATTTTTAGCTCTATGTTTGATGATTCGATATGCAATTTATCTTATTATAGGTATTGGAAACCTTACTGGTTTTGTAAGTATTTAAATGCCTATTGTTGACTAATTGTTTATATATATAATATTTGTCTTTATAAAAACTGCTGCCTATTGTTGACTAATTGTTTATATATAAAATATTTGTCTTTATAAAAACTGCTTGTTACCATATGTGAAAAATTTCAGAATAACCCTTTAAAGTAAAAACCTATTGTTAATGCATGAAAGAACATATTAACATTTTATCATTTAATTACAGTTGTTTGTTAAAGATCTTTAAAATATCTTTAGAGTGTCAAAGAAGTAAAAAAAATACAATGTTAAAGGCGCATGGTTTATGACATCATCGTATTTCTACCCATTTACTTATTAATTACATTAAGCTCAATCTTTTTCATAGTTCGAAGTTATGTCTTTTTTTAATTGTAAATGACTTTGGCTAGTTCGAATAATTTTATTTGTACAAACTTCAAGATAAATTATCAATATACTTTTAATTTTCATTAACATAAACACATCTTGAGGCTTGCTTTTCAACTGCTTATATCTGTTTATAGAATGGGATCAAGTTTGTTCCACCAACACCTACGGATAAAAGTATATTTACCTGTGTTATTGAATCAAAACGTATAGCACCATGTCTTCTGTATATATTCATATCCACTTTGTCAGGGTAAGAAGTAATATATTTGTACCTGTGTAAAGCATGCAGCCATTACATGTATGTAAGCTATAAAATATGTTTTAATCAACATATGTTTATTGTTTGTGTCACAGTGCTGATGTACATTATAAGTAATTGCAAATATTTATGGATAGTAGTTTTCTTTTATCTTTAAGTCATCAAACTTATTATATCTGTAATGCCAAATGTAAGTTTAATATTCATTAAATTTCATTCAAACATTATATCAAAGTTGCTTTCAGTTTGCATTTTTATGCATTCTAAAAAGGAAAATATTTTATTGGCAATGATGTAATAAATTACTAATTCAATCTTTAAAGCAACTATTTGCGTACCACAATCATTTGAATGTATTTGAAAAAACGACAACAAAAGAACAACCTGGCAAGTGTGAGATTTAAACTCGTTCCATTTACCGTAGAAATACAAAAACGATAAATAATAAAGTAATTTTCTTACCTAGCTGACAATAGTTATTAGTGTGCATCAACTTATGCGTAACATACCCCGTCTTATGTATACCATTTTTAGGGGTGATGGAAAAAACTTTTTATAAAAGAAAAAAGTTTCAATGATCTGTTAATTATGATTTTATTTGTATATATAGTATATGAATAGGAATCCTTGACGAACCCTATCTTATTAATAACGTTTATAACTACATACATCTGAAATACTAATCGTCCCAAGTAAGGTTTGACCATTTTATGAAAGTGAAATAATTCAATGTTCAGTTACTTTTCATTTTATTTGTATATATAGTTTACGAACGTGAATCCCGGACGAACCCTATTTTAATAATAAATTATATGGGTACATACATCTAAAATACTTATCGTTACAAGTAAGGTTTGACCATTTTATAAAAGTGAAATAGTTCAATGTTCAGTTAATTTTGATTTTATTTGTACATAAAGTTTACGAACGGGAATCCCGGACAAACTCTATCTTATAAATAAAATGTATAGATTCATATGTCTGAAATACTTATCGTCCCAAGCAAGGCTTGATGTCGGTGAAGGCCGGTGCTAGGGGGCGTGGACAGTAGGTTTTACTTGACAGAACCGTCCATGAACAGGCTCAATCAAACCGAGGCTGCAACATTTTCAATTTTGCCGTGTTGGGCTTTCTTTGGGGATTCTTATTTCTCTCTATTTTGACTAAATGCTCATATTCCGTAGATACTAAAATAAATGGATAGCTTTGACATTGTTTAAAGAAAGTTGTTTCTTTTAGAATTATCATTATAAGAATGCAGTATGTCATACAATTTAAAAAATGCTTTGTGATATGTACACCGTTTTGAATTTTCAGGAATAAACCATCATTAACAATAGAAACGTCCGTAGATATAAGTGAAAACACAACTGTAGAAAGTATAAAGAATTCTTCAGTTCATAAAGGAATACAAAATGTGTTTAGCGCTCAGATATTGATCAAGGGAACTATACAGGCACAAACGGAACAGTATATTTGCGTCACAGCTCATGATAGGTAATAAGATGTGTTTTGATAATCTAATACATTAATTAAACAAAATAAACTAAACTAAAATAAAATGAAATAAAGAAAATTGCACTTGCCTTTTCGATAATGTAGATTAACCAATAATATGTACCAGCCAGTATTGGCATTGTAATAAATATAACAAGTTATGTCATAACATAGAATATGATGTATTTATTATAACACTTAGCTGTTTCTTTTGTGCGTAATTGTTTCTTTTGTGCGTAATTGAAAATTCAATGATGTAATTCGTTGTATGGTCGACATGTATGGTTTGACTTATTTAAAGATAAAAGTGAAAATTTCAATGAAATGTCGTAATGGTTTTTTCAAATATTGTAATTACATGTTCATGTCTATTCAGTTCAGCAGAAGATAATCTATGCTTGCAACTGAAGTTTACATATGCAGGTAAGTTAATTGTTTAATATTTTAAAGTTTCAATGTTAAGGAATTTCACACAGCTAAAACACCTCGGATATTGATGAAGATTACATAAACTTCAGTAAAAACAGAGTATCCACATTTTCTATCTTTTAAAAAATATTGTCAAATCAAAACAAAAAGTTTTCCATGAACATGTTTGTTTAAAGGGAGTTTGCAATATTGTCGTTCTTGGCGTACTTTAGGGACATATGTGTTCTTTATTAGACAAGGTATAATGATAACAAGGTATAATCAATATACTGTGGACATTTCAATCATTTTAACTGAATAAAAATACATTTTCAGAAATATACATAGTCCAATATGTTTGAAAATAATTAAAATGAAGACATTCAAACCAAATTATTTTTGATAGAGATAAATTGTTATTTTGTAAGACTTACGGCGTTAATCATTCTTCTGTTGTGTTTTGAGTACAAAACAAAATGGGATTTAATCGTTATTTACAATTTTAATTTGATTTGTATTTAATGCTGTAATTGTTGGTGACTGTTGAAGATAATCATATTTTAAGTAGTATAAGCTGTTTTTAATTTTGGCTAAAAGCTCTTTCTATGCAAGATTATAGATATGTCAAAAACTTGTTGTATTATGACAGTATTGGATATAGAAATTGGGCTTCTCATGTTAAATGGTTTATATAGAAATGGTTTTGGTTTTGGGAACAGCAGCATGTTTCAAATATAAAGTTATTTTTAAAACAGCTCGATTTAAGGCTTAAAGATCAATATCTACGAGTACAAGATTGGTCTGCTGAATGTCATTCAAATGCTAAACTTACTTCTTATGTTAATAATAAATCAGTTTTTGAGTATGAAAATTACCTTGAAATTGTTGACAGCAAGAAATTGAGAAATGCTTTAGTAAGTCTTCAGTCATCATTGCACCCTTTAATGATTGAAAAAGGGAGACACATAGGTATTGACAGAAATCAAATATTTTGTTTCTTTTGTGAGGACCAGATTGAAAATGAATTTCATTTTAATTTCGTTTGTCCAACTTAAAGTCATCTAAGAGAAAATCATATTAATAAAAGATATTAAAATAATCCAACTTTGAACAAATTTCATGTATTAATGTCATCCAGAAAAGAGCAGACAATAAAATGTATAGCTATGTTTATTTATTATGCTCTAAAGCTGAGGTTATCAATATTGCATTGTTAAAATTTTGATCAATTTTATATGTCAATAAATTATACCAACAATCTAGATTATCTAGATTTAATACTTGAAGGTAATTTCCCTTATTTAAGGGCATATTTTAAATAATGTAACCTTGTTCGTGTTTTTTCTTGTTTTTCGTTTCTTCAAGATGCAGGAACAGGCAAATAGTTACCCTTTATAATTATGTATTTATAAAAGTTCTTGTATACTTGTTTATATATGTTAATTTGTTGATTACTGTAGATTTTCACTGTATTTGCTATTATTTGTTATAATATGTAAATATGTTGTGTGTTTATTGTAATGTATGGGCTTGTTGGCCTTAATGTAGAATTAAAAAAAATAAAATTGAACTAATTTAAACGGCAATGAAATTATTTTTGAAAAGGTGCTACAGAAGGGCAGCCTTGTGTAAAGGTGTCTACCTTTTATCAAATAGATTGTGGATTAAACTTACCTGTTTGAAATTAGAAATTTTCTTAAAATACCACAAGTACTGGCTAGTTTCAGGAACATTGCACTCACAGGTGACAACGGGTAAAATTGATACGTATGTATTAAAGTAATAAACAGACTTGTACCATAAACAACAAGTTAGGATTGGCGACTAGCAACACCTGCTTTTCTGTTTCATTGAAAACATTGTTTGTCAGAAAAGATCATATTCAAACTCAACCAAAAGTATAACAGAAACGTTTTAGCTACTTTTACTTAACTGTTAAATTCCAGTCAAAGTATTTTGTTTTAATTTCAGCAAAACTTGATGATCTGCAGAAAAATGTAAGTTTTTTGTGATTTTTTTTAAATTGGTTGTTTGTTATACATTAAACAAAATACTTTCAATGTCAGTTAGCAATTGAAAGTCATTTAAGTTAATTTTGTATTAAATACAAAATAATTGAATATAAGTAAGACAAAAACTGCGACAGACAAACATTGTTTTCGTAACTAAATTCAAATTATCGCTTTATGTGCCCGTCGGGTAAAACATAAACTAGCTCTTTGGGAGATGTACGGTTAATTGCTATACTCTTGCTTCTTTCGAAATACAACATGTCGCCGAGTAAGTCAACAAAAATAAGGTGTATCTATATTCTAAACATGATTATTGTTAGCTCTCATCGAATTTTGAAAAATTGCAAAATAATATACTATGTTGTCGTCATTACTGATTAAAGTCAACTTAAAGTTGGTGATTGTAGTTTGATGGCAGAGTTTCCACCTCGCAAATTTAGCATTGAAATGGACCGTTTTGTCTTAAAGAAAATAGTATTGCTTCATGTCTTCATATAGACAGCAACTAACAGTTAAAACGAATACGTTCCAAGCAGATGACAGGTCTTGAATGCGATTAAGTTTTAAATGATTCCCCACAAACGAAGTTGAGGGCATAAATAGGAGTCAGCTTTGTAGTACGTCGGTCGGTCCACTACATGGTTTCCGGACAATAACAATTTGGTATAAAGCAAGCTATTATGAAGACACGACGACTAACATTAAGGTCAATGTCACTGTTATTAAACACAGCCAAAGTGGTTTCCGGAAAGAAAACTAGAGTTAGGAAACAGATATAACTAAAAAAATTGATATATAGCAAGCTTACATGGTGACCAAAATTAGGATTGCTTTTCGGTCTTTTGGGGTCAAGGTTCAAAGTCTCTGTTTCTTAAAATAGATAGATAGAATTTTGGACTTTAATTAAAGTTAGGTATGACATTATGTAATAGAAGACGAGAAAAAGATAAACAAGGCAAATGCAACGTTTATAGGACGCAGCCAGGAATGGTATGTTACTTGGTATGTTGCAAGCTTATATAAAGACCCTAATTTGAATTGGTTTTAGATCCCATTTGCTCAATGAAAAGATCAACGTCAAAAAAATAGCAAAACTGGTTTCAGAATGATGACTAAATTAAGGAATGAAATATTGTGATCAATCGCAGTACATAGTCATGTTATGCAATGACTTGGGAATGCTTTTGGACCTGCCTTGGTCAAAGTCAATGTCACTGTTATAAAAAATAGTCAACGGACAATAACTTAGGTTAAATATAAGATAATGTAAAATAAAGAAAAACAGAATCCCTGAAGAAAGCCAAACAAGGCAAAATTGTAAATGTTGCAGGCTCGGTTTGATTGAGCCTGTCCATGGACGGTACTGGAAAGTGCAAGTTTACCGTCCACGCCCCCTAGCACCGGCTTAAGCAGAATTCAACATTTAAACACAAAAATGGTGAAATTTGGAATTAAGTAACATCCGTAGATGTGTACATACGGCGGTTATCATGGAACCTTCAATGTGGCACAGTAGTGCCATTCCATGAAAAGCGGCGTATGGTCCCCAATTAAAAAAAATGCGTGTGCCCTAAACGAGAAAACAATGGGCGAAACTAATAACAATTTAAAAAGCAGGCAACACAATTTTGCATTCAGCAGGCTTATGGGGAGACCTTGTTTGGGATTGTTGTTAGATTCTCTATGTTTAAGGTCAAGGTTAATAGTATTTAAAAAAGAAAAATGATTTCTGTAAGATAGGCAATTAATTAATTGTTATAATTATAAGTACACAGGTGAGACATCTTAAATATCGGTCGAGTATAAATTTTGCTTTACACTACTTTTTCAAAAAAATTCAGGTGGCTGGTGGGGTTATGAATCACCTTCATTGATAGATTTAGTATAAGGAGGTATAAGATGTATAGTCTGCGAGACAGCGTTTTCCAGATAGTAGTCAAAATAGAACGACTTACTTTATAGACCCTGTCAAATAAGATCAGATGCAAGTTGTCACGTTTTGATTATGTCATTGGAGGATAAGACAGACATATTCAATACGACTAAATACTCTTATAAACACTTATGAAGATATAAATCCTTACTCTTGTAAGATGCGCAGAATGAAATCGCAAAACTTTTGTATTTTATTTATCTGATAGTTATTTGGTGTTTCAAAGGTGTAAGTATTCCTTAGTTTTTTAAAACGGGGCGTAATAATCAATTACAAAATACTGGTTGAATAAATATATATCCATAATTAAACGATGTGAAATTATTTCAATACTGAAACTTTCGATAGGCTTCCTACTTGAATACTGTCTAATCACCCTTAGGATATGTTGCCTGCTTTTTAAATTGTCTTTTGACGTCTTATCTGTGATATGCAGGCTTCATAACCTCAGATCCCCTTTCAAAATTCCATTTTATTTAGTTCGGCCCATTGTTTTCTCGTTTAGGGTACACGCATTTTTCTTACTTGGGGACCATATGACGCTTTTCATGGAATGGCACTTACGTGTCACGTTGAAGGTTCCATGATAACCGTCATAGGAACACATCTGCGGATGTTTAAAAATTCAAAATTGAACCAGTTGGTGTTTAAATGTTGAATTCTGCTTAAGCCGGTGCTAGGGGGCGTGGTCGGTAACTTGCACTTTCAGTACCGTCCATGAACAGGCTCAATGAAACCGAGCCTGCAACATTTTCAATTTTGTCGTGTTGGGCTTTCTTTAGGGATTCTTTTTTTCTCTATTTTACATTCGAAACGGTCTGTATATTACTCAGTAAAGAAGAATATCCTACTTACATCACATTTTTAAGGGAAATTACTCTTCTTTGACGCTTATTGCTTAAATAGACGGATCTATATATAAGAAAGAAGCAGATTTATTGTTTACTAGCCGTGTAAAATAGTCCGGTGATACTTATTCCTCATATGACAGGCAGCAACAAAGTTTATCCAGCCTACACAGGTTGAAGGAAGCATTTTAACTGGGTACATAGGTGACAGATATACAGTTCTTTTGTACACAACAAATAATTCGCCTTGGTAAGTCATTTCAAGAAATAACAATTTGAAATCTACATTATCTGAATCAAAACACAAATGTCAAATGTCAAAAATGCATGTATGTTTTTATCATTTAATGTAGTTTAAATAGGCATATAAAGCTTTTTAGAGCTGTGCTGTGACCGATTTCTTAAAATAAAAATTACTTTCACAATAGCTCTTGTTTGCGAGTAATTGCTTTTTTACCCGTAATGTATTTTTCATGTTCAAAATGTTCTTTTATAACTATATAATAAATAACACGATCTTTTTCAGTGAAAAAGTTATATCGACATCCAAAGATGCCAGCGTTTTTGCACCATTCAAGGATAGTACGTCGTGTGTAACAGAAGTCTCTTTCATTTTTAAGACCGAAGGACCATCAGTCATTTGTTTCCTTTCGGCGTACGTGCACAAATTATCAAATTTCTCTAAATTTCCTTAGAATTATATGTTATTGCATTATTCTGTCAACAAGTCCCTATATAAAGAAAGCCGTCTACAAGTTAATATTAAGCTCATCTTTTGATGTATATATTTATTTTTTATTTGACAGGAGGAAGCATTTCCAAAAGCGATGCTATGTTGCAGTTGGAAAAACCAACAAGTCTGGTAACTATTGTATGAACTAAACACAATTCTATAAAATTATGCAATACATTAATTCCTTAATACACGCAATAAGTAACTTGTCAGTTAAAGACATTTTTTTTATACATTGATATGTATTATATTTCTATGTTATTGGTTCAAAATTTTGCGAAACAAAGAAAAGAACAATTGAATTAGAATTATTCTTAAAATCTAGTGTATGATACCTTTCAATTGGATTAATACCAATGTAGATGAAATACAACAGTTTTAAGAAATATACAGAAAATCCACAACCCACTGATCTCTGGATGGCCGGTCAAGTACACTACTACACTACAGCGGCCATTGTGTTTTTAAGATATTTAGAAGAAGAAAATGTGAGTGTGATTGAGTCACCAAACTGAGGTTAAAGTAGCTATAAATAGCATGCCGCTATGGTAATAAAAGTAATGACGTCACAAAAATAATAAGAAGATAAAAGGTCAGTTCGCAGGAAAAAACGCAACGACCGCTGTGGTGAAATGGTTAGCAAACTGGACTAGCAATTCAGAAAATCCGTTATTTTATGTAACAGAAAGACTCCGTATCTGTACAATCCGTAGAACAAACGTCAAAATTCGGCCCATTTCCCAGTAATAGACATAAATTTGTCATTTCTTCATTACAAAAGATATTGAAAACTGATCTAAATATGTTACAAAAATCAAAATATGAACATATATAGTCAATATTGAATTAAGACATTTTGTAATAACACATTCTTTCAGATACATGCTCAAGTTTTCCATGTCAGAACGGTGGTCATTGTTTCCCGCAACAATTGTTGCAAGGCTACCAATGTATATGCAAGACAAACTACATTGGTAAACAATGTCAAGAAGGTATAGTACCGTATTTTACCTTTAAACAATATATTCAAATGTTACATCATTTTATATATAGAGTTATTTATGCAATTGAAAAAAAAACTTTTGTATTTGTAAAGGTCCTTGTCTAAAGAACGACTGTGAAAATGGTGCGTTTTGTAAAATCAAAAATGGAAACCAAACATGCATATGCAAAGCGGGATATATCGGCATTAAATGTGGTATGTAGTATCTCTAATGTAAATGTTTAAAGATTGCACATATGCCATTTTGAAAATGCACTTACTTTTCCGAACAGCATTTAAATGGTTTAAAAAGTTTTTTTAAACATAAAAATATTTGTAAAATAGTTAATAGATTTGCAAGAACATTGATTATATATTGATATGTAAATGTATTTAAATTAATTTTGGCTATATAATCGTGATTTTTAAACATATAGTATAATTGAAATTTTAACTTTAAAAATAACTAATTGGTGATGTGATCTATGGATTTATCTTTTTGTTTATATTCAGAGAAAGAGAGCTCGAGCATTGAACAGAAAGTAAGCACTTTTACAAAACTCATTTTCTGGACAGGATACATTTTGATTACTTTATACAAGATGTTTTAAAGTCCTCTTTATGTCTAAATGTGTTTAAATTTAATTTAAGTGTCACGGTTTAGAACTGTTCAATTATTAGGGGAGATGATGTGTAAGTGGCCGGAAAACTCAGTCGGTAGAACTGCAGAACGGTGTTCCGAGGGTCCTGGGTTCGAGTCCCGATTAGGCTGCACATCTTTCTCACCCTGTGACATTTGGCTCCCAACGTGGGGCCGTGACTGGATAAGCTCAGAGTTTGATTTACATTGCTCTGTGACTCTTTGAAGTTCGAGTATAGCAGTATATTTCAGTATAGCAGGGTAGTATGTCACGGCTCAGAACTGTTCATTTATTAGGGGAGAAAATGTCTGAGTGTCTGGAAAGCTCAGTGGGTAGAGCCGCGGAACGGGGTCCCGGCTTCGAGTCCCGGTCAGACTGCACTTTTTCTAACAATGTGACTTAAGTTTACTGTAGACGATGCGGTTGGATAGAGAGAAAATTAAACTATGTTTTTCAACTGTTAAATTAGATTTCCGCTTTTCAAAGTTAAATACGTCAGTAAAAATACACAAGGTCTAAAGGTCATTTACGATTTTTTTTGCTTTTGTTAGGTCGAAATTATATATAACGAATAAACTTATATGTAATGAGTGCATCTATCTGTCATTTGTGTTTAAAACAGAACTTGGAAGAACTTTATAGTATTATGCTAATATACTCATGAAATATATTTCATATTATTCTCAATGCATGAAATTTCATTTGTACACAAAGCGTTATATGTGAAGTTAAGACGCTTGGTAAAAGTATAGTTTTTGTTTATTTATTTTCATTTTTCAAAAAGTTTTGCATGGGAAAGTTACCTTCTTAGCATGTAAAGCCTTTCTTTACAAACTACATTCTGAAAAATTATATTATGTTTGTGACAAAGTGTGTAAAGCACTCTCTTGTTTCCTTTTAAATACATTTATATCAGGTTAACGCAGATTCAAACAGATTAAAGGTATTCCTATTGGTAGTTACTGTGCTACTTTGATTGCCTTTTTGTGTCGCCTCTACGTAGTAGTGGCGACATATAGGGATCATTTCTCCGTCGTCTGTCTGTCCGTCTGTCTGTTTGTCTGTCCGTCTGTCCGTCACAAAACTTGTCCGGACTACTCCTCATAAACTACTGGTGCAATTTCATCCAAACTTTACAGGAATGATCAGTACTAAGTCTAGTTGTGCATATTGTCAGCATTTTCCGGTTCAATAATTTTTGTCAGAGTTATGGCCCTTTAATAATTTTTATTTTTAAAGTTTGTCCGGACTACTTCTCTTATACCACTAATGCAATTTCAATGAAACTTTACAGAAATGATCTGTAGCTCAAGTCCTTGTGCATATTGCAAGGGTTTTTTGGTTGAATGATTTTTGGTCGAGTCATGGCCCTTTGATAAAAAGGTGTTTTTCTCTGTGTGTTGCCAGATACATACAAGCTTGTCCAGACTACTCTGCATAAACTACTTGTGCAATTTCATCCAAACTTTACAAGAATTATCAGTACCAAGTCTAGTTGTGCATATTGTCAGCATTTTTTTGTTTCAATGATTTTTGTCAGAGTTATGGCCCTTTAATAATTTTTATTTTTAAAGTCTGTCCGGACTACTTCTCTTATACCACTAATGCAATTTCAATGAAACTTTACAGGATTGAACTGTAGCTCAAGTCCTTGAGCATATTGCACGGGTTTTTTGGTTGAATGATTTTTGGCTGAGCTATGGCCCTTTGATAAAAAGATGTTTTTTTCTGTGTGTTGCCAGATATACAAAAGCTTGTCCGGACTACTCCTTATAAACTACTGGTGCAATATAATCCAAACTTTACAGGAATGATCAGTACCAAGTCTAGTTGTACACTGTCCGTCTGTCTGTCCGTCTGTCACAAAACTTGTCCCAACATGAAATCGGTCATCATGAGGCGACACATGTGATCACTGATCTCTCTTGTTTCATTTAAAAACCGATGTAACATTTTGTTTTGTACAGTGTAGAAAATCGGATGGCGCAATCGCCTTGGTGTAGGCGTTGTCGTGAATTTCCTTTTAATTTTATTTTATAATCCAAGACATAGGAAGAAAGAACACATTTCCGTTTTAAATATTAATTTATTTTATCTAATTTAACTTAACACAACAAGTTTTAATCCATTTAAACGATCTCATTTAATAATGACAAAAATAATCCAATTAATTGACCTTTAATTAACAAATAAGTCTCACTAATTTTATTTCACCCACAAGTAACTTATAAAATGTCCCGTTTTATATAGCAAAACTTTCCTGCCTTTACAATTAAGCATGGCAAGAAAAGCATGTAAAACAGATATCTCGTGCACAATAATTCACCTTCTGGGAACTGTTACAATAGATTTACTAAATGCACGTGAAAAACATTGAATTGGCTGAAAGAACACGTGCAAAATACTACTTCATTTTCACCGTCTGATTACTTAACAACAGAACTTTAAAGGCACGGTGATTAATTATGTAACTTGCTAAGAAAATAATGTTTGATAAAAATAGAAATATATTAAGATACATGTATATCGCAATATCTGCGACAGGCGTAAAGTGTAAATGATTATCAATGAAAATTGAGGAGGGTCCTCTTTCGACGACCTAGTTTTAATACTAAGAAAAGTACAAATATCTTCTTGCAAATAATTATTAATACTTTGTCATTTTAAGTTATAAACCAGATCTTACAGTCTGACTGTTGGACACACTTGGACAGTTTGGTAGATATTTTATCTAACAAGGGCGTAAAATAACATCATATACCAAATAATTGCTTGTTGGGGCGGTTTCCCGTGGCAGAAATATATCGAATATTTAGCAGATTTAGAAGCCATGGATGTGATGTATCATGTTTAAAGAGGGGACATTATTTGATATCCCTAAACAAATACAATATGAATATAAATAAAAATACTAGTCAGTAAATAATTGTATTTTCAGATGACATTTATAGATGCAGCAACGCCAAAGCAGTTTGAGTGTGTTTTATACCAACAATGTGGCATTGCTTTACTGTTTAGTAATGGTTTAACTAGGTAAGATACAGGAATTTGCAACTAAGCTTGTTATGTTGCTATACATACCTATGTGTAAAGATTCTCGTAGTAAAAAGTAACTTTAATCTTTTTTCAGGCCTCAAATTGCCGTTGGTTATGTCAATCCTGCAATTCTTGTTAAAGATATTCAAACATTGGACTTACATGAGTCTGGTTGCTCCCGAGTCAGTATCAATCTAATACCTAAAGAAGTAGGAGTGAAGGACGTATGCATCCAGTCCTTCGATACAATTGGGTAAATGTTTATAAGACTCAACTTAAGTTATCTTTACTTGAACAGAATTCATTGTAAAGCTTAAATCATTTATATACAAGTTACAGTTTATGTGATAATATTCGTTGTAATATTTTTTATAAGCAAATGCGTAAGGCTTTTTCTACATTTGTACTACATGTATTTGTATGGTTTACTAACACTAGTTAATCGATATTCAAAATGACCATACTCCAAATATATTGATGACTTAAAAAGTAACTGATGACTTAAAACATCACTGATGACTTAAAAGGTAAAGGTAATGAAAAATGTCAATTTATATATATTAACTAAGAAAATTCCAGAAAGGTCTATTATGTTCTCAAGTAATCATAATCTAGCAACTTCAACAATAAAGAACATTCCAGAAGTTTCTATCTAAATATAATGCATGAGTTTTCTACAACAGTTAAGAAAGTTCTAGTACATACATGTAGTTAATGTTCTAAAAATAGAACAATGATAATATTGGAAATACCAACTGGTCAGATATGAATTATATACATGTAATATGTTGCATACATAACAAAATAAAATCTTAAAAAGACAAACACCTAATGCTTAAAGAACGCCTAAAACGACAAAATTGAAATTGTTTCAGGCTCGGTTTTATTAAGCTTGTTCATGGACGTAACTGGAAAGTGCAAGGCACCGTCCCCGCCCCTTAGCAGATCATTGAAGTAATGCAAATTTGAATTTTTAAACATCTGCAGATATGTTAAATTGGCAGGTATCATTGAACCTTCTACGAGATACGTTAGTGCTATTCCATGAAAAGCAGCGTGTGATGTTCTGTTTACGAACTACATGTTCCCTAAACAGGAAAATAATGATCGGAACTCAATAAATGAAATTTTTAAACGGAAACGTAGGTTATGAAGTCTGCATATCACAGATAACAACGGAACATAGTGCACTAAATAAAGGCCTTGACGTCAACACATTGTGCACTGAAAAAAATCAAAACATCTAAACGTGATGTACACATACGATATAAACATCAACAGATGTTAAACTCGACTTAGATCTAGAGATCAAATAATGGTAAACTTACAAGATCTAAACATCAACACATGGTGTCATCAAATAAGACTTTAACATCAACACATGGTGTACTCATCAGATCTAAACATCGGTTGGTACACTTATATTATACATAGATTTCAAAACAGGGTACACTTATGAACTGTTAACTTCAACACATGGTTCACTTGAATAAGCAATAATAACACATGTCATACTCATAAAGTCTAATCAGCAACACAAAATAGAGAAAATAAGAATTTCCAAAGAAAGTCCAAAGCGACAAAGTTAAAAATGGTGCAGGCTTGGTTTGATTGAGCCTGTTTATGGACGGTACTGTAGAGTGCAATCTACTGTCCACTCCTCCTAGCACCAGCTTGAGCAGATTTCAACATTTAAACATGAAAAGGTAAAATTTTGAATTTAAAATTATCCGCAGATGTGTTCATTCGACGGTAATCATGAAACCTTCAATGTGACAAGCGACGTATGGTCCCATGTTATAGAAAGTGTGTGCCTTAAACGAGAAAATAATGGGCGGAACTAAATAAAATGGAATTTTGAAAGGGGATCAGAGGTTATAAAGCCTGCATATTTCAGAAAGACGTCAAAAGACAAAATTAAAAAGCAGACAACATATCCTAAGGGTGATTCAACATTATTCAAAAAGGAATATTGGAACCATCTAATAAGAAAATGCCAAAAAGTTAAACTATAAATACCACAAAGTCTAATCGAGACACATGGTGCATCTATAAAGACTTAATATTAACACATGGTGAAATAATAAGATCTAAATATCAACATTTGGTGCACTTACAATATCTAAACATCAACAAATGTTGCACTCAAATAAGATTAAAATATCAAAACATGTTTACTTATAAGATCTAAACATCAGCGCTTCTACAAAATCTGTAAACAATTACAAAAAATTATTTGATAACTTTAATGTGCAAATCTTAAATTATATACTAATATGAATCATTCTTCATGCGTTGATTCAAGCCTCCTACTTTTATAATCTCAGCCATGTTTCCATCTTTGAAAACTTATGACAAAATTAATGACACAATTGGCGTCAAATGCCTTATTCTATATGTCTAACAAAAACTTTCTTTACAAGAACTGAATCGTATTATCTCTCAATTACGCAGAAAGTTATAAAGCTTATTTGAATTGTCACATATTAAAAGTTTACTGTTCAAAACATGTTTCTTGCAATCAATTTACAAATAATGCGAATATTTTTTCAGTGTAAATCAGGACGAGTTATGCTTTAAAGTCATTGTGACAGTAGGTATGTATGCTTAATGATATTCTTAAGAGTACGAAATAGTATAATAAAAGTTATTATCAAAATATGTTTATTTTCGGTAACCGTCGGTAAATATTTCTAACGGTAATTACTTTCTATTTATAAAAAAGAAATAAAAGATTTATTGACTTAACGCCTCCTCGGATAAACAGTTTATACATTTTTATAAAGTTTTTTATCTCTGATAACATTTCAACCCTGATTTATTGATTCATTTGAGTGAAATTTTACTACTCTTGGAAACTTCTTTCAGATATGTCTTCATTATTTGGAATACCGGTAAGAAGCATCATTCTTCATAATGAATCAATATTAAAGATATTGAACTTCAATGTAGACAAGATGTATATTTTGACTTAAAAATACTTGATGTTTATACATGACTGATGCTTTTGTTGTTGTAATTGTGATTATATTTGTTATACGTGGTGTACTAAAGTAACCCTTTCACATTTTCTTTCATAAAGATCATGTAACTTAAATTTTTTAAGGTGGACGGTAGTTTGCACTTGTTTTCAATTTTGCCGTTTTAGACTTTTTTAGGGATTCTTATTTTTTTTCTATTTTATATCAAGTTCCAAAAAGCTTTATTTGTAAAGCTATTACCGAATTAACGAATTTACAATTTCATGTAAATAAAGGGAGGTGATCAGAAATTAATCACGACAAAGTCTTAGCCAATTTTTGTTTCATAAGAAGTGAATGCATACATTTAAATGATAACTTATAATGTGATTTAACATCTGCAATACATATTTTTCATATTCATGAATATTTGGAAATTGTTTAAGAAGAACAATATTAAACAAATATAAAATTTCACTTAAATGTTGTAACATCCTTTATTACAATATACAGGGTCTTTAATTGCTTATTTTATTCAAGTATGTAGATAACCCTTTTTCATAAGGCTTATATAATTTTTCATATAAGTTCATTTGCAGTAACTAAATAATAATATTTTTAAGGATCGCCCTCATTTTGTATACCCGAGTATGCCTGATAAGACTCAAGTTGAATGTCAAGAAGGTAGACCTTGCCACGTACTCTATGAAATTACCGCTGGGGAAGGCAATGAAGATAAATGGTAATTATTTTATCAAATAAAACTATCAATCATTCTAAGAATAAATATTCATCACGAATTGTGCCATTTACGAGTTATTTAAGTGTATGGCAGATAGTAAATAAAATAAAAATATTAATGTTATGGTAATGACTATGTACGCCGTTCACTTTGGTTCATCGCCATTTGAGTGATCAAACAAAGTAGACAATTTTTTATTCAATTAAGATAATTTATAAAGAAGTCTTTGCGACTTGAAAACATTCGTTTCGTTTACAGTTAACTTCACTTTTCAGCCTAATTAAGGCCAAAATTTGCTTTTATTCCATTCTTAAAGTCTTTACATTATAGGCTCATTAAGGCCTAATTTTGCTTAAAATCCATTTTTAAAATGTTTTTTTCATCACATCATTCCATATTGGTACCTTGTTTAATTTATTTGCCATATTAAGTCATTTGTGTTTTGCATAGATTATAACTATTTATAACTTAAATTTTATGTCATTTTTTATTACAATTTGTTTTCTGAAATATAAAAACACAGATTGCTTTTACGACTAATACGTTTACACCAAAGCTAAATATATATTTATGTTTAATCATTTTCTTGAAAAACCGAACAGAATATACATGTTTCTTTTATTTTCCATTGTTGAATTTGATTAATAGATTGAAATATAAAAGCTTCATAAATAGTATTCAAGCATAGATACCGAATTCTAAAAGGTGTACTTTATGGTAACAGGGTTTCACGTTATTATGTCAATGCAGTTTTGCCTCGCGTGCTAAAGTATATGTATGAACTAACAAATACGACGTACGTTCAAAAAGTTCGTGGACTTTTGCTGTCATTTTTTACTTGGTATATAAAAACAACATTGATTGATATGACTCGAACTAGTGTTTTTATTTCTAAAAGTAAGTTTTACTTTTATCTTAAACTTTTACATCCGTTGCAAACTATGTGCACTTCATTATTCATTGCAACGCAACATCGGCGCATGCCAAAATTTTCATATTATATTTAAACATAAACAAATGTCGAAATAAATTGAACGGTTATTTCATCAGATAAAATACGGGTAAACAACTGGTAATATTTAAATGATATGAATCCGAAATTTGGCGTCATTTGGACGTTGAATGGCTAAACAAACCAAGTTTTGAGCAGCAGTGGTCAGTAGCGTTAATTGCGAAATGCGAAGCCCATTTTAAAAACTAGAAATTCACACTTTCGGGAAGTTTTGCCATCAATTAGGGGATACTCCTTCATCTTCATATGAGGTGGTTAAATTTACAAAAGGCAAGGAGTCGGCGACCAGGTCACTCGGTTTCAGCTGGCGCAAGTGATTCAAAACCGGCGAATACATGATCACAGACAGAAAGGGGGAGGGAGAAAAAGGCGAATTATCATTACAAAAGTTTTACAGGAGGGTGGACATTATGAAATGTGTGCGAGCTGTCCGGCATGTTTAATTGCTGCATCGGGTCTACACATTCAATTCTGACCAAACAATTAAATTAAAACAATATTTTATTTTATTATTTATATCAGGATGCATGCGTATTAACAATAGGTAAATGTAGCTACTATATGTATTGCATGTATTTTCCCTGACTTAGATTTACCGCATATAACAATTGTCAGTCAATAATATATATATTTTTTTACTGTTAAGAATCATATTGTTTAAAGATCAGACAATGGTAGTTTTAAATTGATACTATAAATTACCAATTGAATCAACTTGATAGCAATGTCCGTAAAGTGTCGGGATTACTCAAAATCGCGATAAAGAAAATGGTCAGCTCTATGTTCCTTATTCGGAGAATCGAAGGAAACTGTGACCATTTTCTATCTTGCTACATCACAATAAACAGAGAAATGGTTATGGTTATATTATTTTGGCGATATAGAACACACGAACATGTATTTTCATAAGCAATGACGCTGGTAACATTTTAATTAAAATTTCTACGTCAAGGACGTCATTTTGTTTTATCATTAGCGTGCGCCGGTTCGCTTACTCCTTGTTACTTGTAATTTTCACAGGATTGTTATTTGTAAACACATTTCATTGTTGTTGTGTTTTTTCACTGTATTTTAAGGACATGCTCCAAAATTTGTCTCTTGTAAAATCGTGTATGCAAAATAAAAGATGTGAACAGTAGAGCCGCAGTCAACGAACTTTTTGAACTTGTAGATACCAAATTCTAAAAGATTTATTTAATAATTTTACGGTTAAAGGGTTTAACGTTATTATATTAATACACAATCTTGCAACGCGTGCTAAAGTTTATTTCAGTAACAATGCATTGCAAAATATGCTTGATAAATGATTTATGACATTTTTTAAGAAACAAGTGAAATGTATATACTGCTGAACTAGGAACACCTTTCTATTTATCAAGCGTTACATTAACACCGACAGAAAGCACAGAGATTTCAAACTATCATATATTTACAACATGTGAATCATGTATCCCAGGACAGACTAGTTTTGGAAATTGTTCCGTCGATATCTCTTTACTTCCACATGCTACTAACGGAATTCAGTCAGAAAGTTTTTGTGTTACTTTAAGCTTAACCGGGTAAGTTATGCTATGTCTAAAATTGAAATCGACAAAGAAGGGAATGACATTTAATTTGATTATGTCTTCTAGATAAACTTATATTTTCTTATAACACTATGGCGTTTGTGAATTATTTTGATTAATAAATTACAGTCCGACAGCTGAATAGCACACAAAGCCGGGAAAATCGAAAAGTTATAAATCAATATTCTTAAAATAAATTTACATATTTGCTTTACTTATATAAAAAATGTATATAAAATCTATAAGTAAGTGGCATTCGCTTGAACCTTTTAAATTTGTTATTAATTCGTTTGGTATCTTTTTTCAGATCTTCTAACGTCGGTGAAAAACGTTGCTTTAACTTGAATGTAAAATCAAAAGATCATGTTGAAGGTAAGTAAACTGTTATTTTGCCAATTTTATCGAAATTACAATATGTGCATACATTGTTTCAAATAGCTTAAAACACAAGAATAAAGATCAACAAGGCAAAGGCAAAGTTCACAGGACGTAGCCCCCCGACACATCCAAGTAGGGTACCCAGAAGGCACCAAACAAAAACATGGAGTGGACATAAAGGTGAAAAGAGTGGGACATATAATGTGAAATAATATAAACTAAAACGGGACCATATAGGAATTAATAGGATAAGGGCTGTAGGCGTGAAATGGGAAGGGGGTAAAAATATGGGTCGCTACGTATCTTCTACATTCCATTCTAAAAATAATTCATGAATGAAAACTACTCTGGAATATTAATTATGATATTTTTTTAGAGAAAAAAGGCTGCCAATTGATACGGTGTAAGAATAGCGGGTTTTGTGATGGACATATACCTTCAACACCGAGATGTTACTGTAAAAAAGGCTACTTCGGAGACAAATGTGATGAAGGTATCTTATATTAGAACTTATATTTTGTTGAAATAACGGTCAGCTTATAAATAGTTTTCTTTTTTTGTAAACTACATGTATATATATGATATATGCACGTGTGTTAATGATACTGTTAACTAGAAAATGAATTTGTATCCCGAAGTCAAATCCAGGATTAGGCATTCTGTTTCAAGGTAAGAATTTATTTCAGCCATGTGTTATATGATATAAATTTGAAAATACGAAACAAAATAAAAGTACACAGAAAACAATTCTTATTCCTTATAAATTATAATTGCCTTTCTTTTCGTTTTAGATTATTTTTTTTTTAATTTCTGCATTACTTACTTTTACCTTTTCCAGATGGAAGTTCGTCCTCGTTAGCAAGTGGACCCTCACATGTACGTTCAGATTAACGTATTTTACAATTTATTGAATATGCCAAATGGCAATTCTGTAGAGGAATGAAATCAACTGTATAAGAAGCTTTTTTTTTAAATTTTATTTATACATACATGGATATAAATATGAATTGTATTTAACTTTACCAGAAACATATATCATATTGCTTATTGGCATATTCTAACAACGTATACTAGAACTAAATGAAAAACAGACTACTTCCATATAAGACTGGTATGAGATGCCATAAATAAAATATTTAAGTTTTGATATATTGCGTGTGTGTTTGTTCTAAGTTAAGTAAGGGTGCATCCGCCCTTTTAGGCAATGAGAATACGGACCCCTGACATGTAACAAATCATACCCTTAAAAAGAATATAAAGTTGAGGAATGGTTATTTTGGTAAATTGCCTTAAACATGACATTTTATGATTATCATTTAAACTTATCTTTATTAAGTCAATTTTGATGTCAGACAGCCCAAAACATGTGTTTTGCACACTGTCTCATTATAAGCAATATTTCTGCAAAATAAATCACTTTCTTTCTGATCAAAAGATACAAAGCGGAGCGGACACACATTTTTTAAATTGATACAAATTGACTAAGTGTGACCTTAAATCTGGAAACTAAGTGATCCTCGGAAGCATTAATCACAACAAAATTACATCAAAATTGCAGACTCAGTACAACATCCTTCACGCCCCTGTACAGGCTTGAGCGATACTCAATTCTCAACTCTTAAAAAAATTGTTAAAATTTAAAAAAAAATTCTGTGTTATTTTTGTGATATTGTAGAGAAAACACACATTTTTTAAAGTAAATATCATGATATTGATAGATAAAGATTTAAGAGGCTATATAATCTAGTTGTATTTGGAAAATGGCAAAACCAACCTATAAGACTTGAGAAAATAATTCTTGACACATATAAATGCCAGTCTATGTAAAATAATAAAAGGTTACCGAGAGGCCTTGATCTTAGAAAAACTTAATCGTAGACGCTGAAGGTATAGTACTATGTAACTTTATTATGACATACATGAACAATAGATAAAACATAAATTAAAATTTAAAAATATAATGAGTATCGACTTATAACTTTTGTGTTATTTACAAATTAAAATGCTGGGCAATTATAAACAAATGACAAAAAAAGAAACTTTTAGACATAATTGCCTTTATCTCTTTTCTTAAACATTGTAAATAATATTTTCAGAGTTTTTTTGGAGATCTAGGGATTCCGACTGAAATAAAGTGCAATGTTGGCAGATTATGTTATTTCCCTTTCGAAATTATATCTGACGATGGAAAGCCGTAAGACTTTTTATGCCTCTAACATTTTTTTACTGTTAAAATGCAATGCTATGGTGGCATATATTTGCCAACAGCTAACTATATAATTATCGAGTTTATTATCTAACTCACTAGTTATTTTGACGAACATATCTAGTATTCTGATAGATATCTGTTGTTTATCTTGGTAACTCAAAACCTAACTAGTTAGTCAGATAGTTTACGCGATAACTATGTGGTTTACTGTTGGATGAAATATGCCTCAATAAAATACATATTCCATCATGTTGCTCGTTCTTTGTCGGTATGTAAGTCATTCCTCAACAATAATTCAAAAAGGATACCCTGTATAACTATGGATACTGCAGACATATTGATTTATGGCATAGGACAATCGTGCTTTAAATAATGTAGACATCTTAAAAAATTAAAATGTGCTTGCAAATTTAATGCAATATGAGCAAGCTTATCTCATGTGTGATTAACAGGTATTTCAAATTATTAATCTAGATTTAAAGTTTCACTGGGTTATGCTGATCCAAGATTATCGGCGCATGAACCATCGTATGCAGCTTCAGCTAATTCAAATACAGTTACATTGGGATCGATTAAACTTAATCCCTCAGAAAAAGGATCGTTTAAAGTTTGCCTTCAAATAAATGTTCACAGGTAAGTTTCTAGGCTCTGCACTTAATATGTAACTGAAAGGTTATTTTATATATTTATATTTGCTGGTAGAAAATTATAGAAGACAACATTTCAGAAAGAGATCAAAGAAAGAGTTTTAAATACCAGCCCGGAGAGAAATGACTTTTCAATGCTGTCAAGGGATCTCATTTCATCAAGATATATATACTCACAACAACAGTTTGTTATGTAATTTATTTCTCTGTTGTTATATTTTTCTTATCCTTCAGGATCATTTATTCAAATGCTTATTTGTATTGATAATTGAATACAGCTTAAGTTATTGTTTTACATATTGTACGCCTTACAATTTCCAATGAACTGACAGTCTGAAAAACCGAGTCAGCTATTTTGAGTTTTTACTATGTTTTAATTAATATTGTGTGATCTTCTATTTTCGAAATATTAAATATGTCACCATAAGAATATAATTATAAGGTCTTTTAAAGATAAGTCTTAAAACCAACGAACTATTTACAAAATTCGAGATAAAAAATATAGTTCATACAGATCTTTACAAAGAAAGAAAAAAAAATTGAGACTTCTGATCGAGATAACAAAAAAATCGCGAAACGCGATGTCTAGATAACGATAGTTGTCTTTATCATATACTTTTTTCTTTATTTTATTAATGATCTTATTAGGCATTGTTCACTTGATGTTAATACTTATCTTACTTATAATTTCTTTATTTTATAAATATTTTATAGTTTTTGAAAAACAGATAATGTCATGTTGTTATCATTTCATTCATTTACTTCTCGGCTATAATAATCAAATGATGTTTATATTTTTAATGATATAATTTAATTACCATTTTGACTACAATGATTTTACTAGATACTGAATAATAACTACAACAACAATAACAAATACTTTTATTTACAATCAGGTCACATAACAACATGATAAAAAGGTTTTTGTCTACATATGGGCGTTTTAATCATATTTTCAAGCTATATCCAATAAAATATTAAATGACTATAGCTATGATGAGAGTATTATAAGTGACGGGTGGGAACAGTAGTTTTCGTATGCAACAACTACACAAAATACAATGTGTAAAATTAGCAGTAAGCTTTTTCTCTAGATAAATAAGGTATCTTATTAAAGCAAATTGAATAAAATAGAAAAAATAAGAATCCCTTAAGATAGCCCAACACGGCAAAATTGAAAATGTTGCAGGCTCGGTTTGATTGAGCCTGTTCATGAACGGTACTGACAAGTGCAAACTACCGTCAACACCCCCTAGCACTGGCTTAAGCAGAATTCAACATTAAACATGAACTGGAATAATTTTGAATTTTGAAACAGCCACAGATGTGTTCATATGGCGGTTATCATGGAACCTTCGATGTGGCACTTCAGTTCCATTCCCTAAAAAAACGGCATATGGTTCCCAAGTAAAAGAAAGTGTGTGCCCTAAACGAGAAAACAATGTGCGGAACTAAATGAAATGGAATTTTGAAAGGGGATCCGAGGTTATGTAGCCTGCATATCAAAGGAAAAATTTAAAAAGCAGGCCACATATACTAAAGGTGATTCAACAGTATTCAAGTGAGGAATATTGGAACCACCCAACAAGAAAACAACCGGATAGAAAGAACTAAATTACCACAAGCACAATAATAACGTCGTGCTGAACGATCTTTAAGGGTCGGAAATATAACATCTCTGACTGAATGTACGGGGCGACTTTTTACAGCCTCCACACGGCACAAACAACTCTGATGTGGCGATAAAATAGAGAAAATAAGAATCCCTAAAGATAGTTTAACACGGCAAAATTGTAAATGTTTCAGGCTTTCTTGTAAGGTTATTTAAGATCTTACAGGACAAATGAAATCATTAAATTGTTAAAACGTAATTTTTACAAATTTTACTATCAATTTTCTTATCGCACGCGAATCAAGATTTTTCATTAATAGAAAATCTTAAATATGCGAGGCAAAGACCGAAGATCTTTCAGCGCGTTATCTAAAATCACGAACAAAAGTGCTCGCGTACTTCAAAATTTGACTAAGAAATGTATACAAATGCAAGCTTTGAATCATACAATACATGACTAGAAAAGACAAAAGACTTTTCAGATCACTAAGTACTTTTGATATGAAAACTCTTGGCACAATTCTTGGCAAGATGATTTAACATTTATTCATTTAATCCTAGCACAGGACAGTAAAACTTTTAACACTTACAATCAAAGTTCATAGCAGAATTGAATCAAGATTGCTTTATTCATGAGAAAGCTTTAATGCAGGATAAATAATTTACAGTCTGAAATGTTCTGTACAGATAATTGACCAAATGTGTACATATATACTTCAGCAAGTTTTAAAGAGTATAATCATATACATGTTCATAATCAGTTGATTCAAATAATATTACATTATGTAGAAGAGTAACATAACTATGATACACAAATATTCAAATGTCAATATAATGCATTGAGCATGTCATTTAATAGAAATCTATTGCATTCAATCTGAGACTATGATTTCATTTGAATTTGAAAAGATTGTAATTTAAGAATAAGACAAAAATCACTGTGATACTTTTGTATTCAAAAATCTTAGCAATAACAAAAGTAGAACTTTTTTTTTCGGGAAGTTTGGTCTCTTCTTATAAGTTTTCGGGATTTTATTTATTCTGGCTTGACTAAAAATAGGGACATTTAAATAAATAGTGAGATTCGTCGCCGATTTTGCTTGATGGGCACAAAACGCATTTCTATTTTATGTAAGACGTGAAAGTTGTACCATCGACCCGTTTCAACCGGTAATTTATGAAATACAGACATTCTCAAATGACTTGGTAAATGTTTTATATAGTGTTCAGGTTTAACGTCGTTTTTGTAAGTTAGTTGACGAAGAATTCACTTGGCTATTCCATTTCTGTAAAAACTGATAATTAAGTTACTGGTATTTATGTGCATCCAAAAAAGGTGTAACCGTGAAATTAAGAATATCTCTGACAAAATTCAACCACTTGTTATTTGTATTGGCGTTTAACATTATCGTTACATATTTTAGATGTTTTGTTTTGATTTCCGAAGACTAATTTGCTCCTGAATTTAATAATTCACGATTCAATTATAATTTCTTTATTTCATGTATATATGAACGAAGAAACAACTGTTTACATTCATTAATTAGGCAATATTAACATCATTTCAAAACAATTGTATAAAATAGATAAATACAGAATCCCTAAAGAAAGCCCAACACGGCAAAATTGAAAATGTTGCAGGCTCGGTTTGATTGAGCCTGTTCATGGACTGTATTGGAAAGTGCAAGTTACCTTCCACGCCCCCTAGCACCGGCTTAAGCAGAATTCAACATTTAAACATGAAATAGTAAAATTTTGAATTTAGAAACATTCGCAGATGTGTTCATACGGCGGTTATCATGGAACCTTCAATGTGACACTTCCATGTCATTCCATGAAAAGCGGCGTATGGTCCCCAATTAATAAAAAGCGTGTGCCCTAAACGAGAAAACAATGGGCGGAACTAAATAAAATGGAATTTTGAAAGGGGATCAGAGGTTATGAAGCCTGCGTATCACAGATAAGACGTCAAAAGACAAATTTAAAAAGCAGGCAACATATCCTAAGGGTGATTCAACATTATTCAAGTAGGAATATTGGAACCACCCAACTAGAAAATGCCGAAGAGTTGAAACTAAAAATACCACAAGCACAACAAAAATGTCGTGCTGAACGATCTTCAAGGATCGAAAATATAACATCATTGATTAAATGTACGGGGAGACTTTTCACAGACGCCACACGGCACAAATAACACGGATGTGATCATAAAATAGATAAATACAGAATCCCTAAAGAAAGCCAACACGGCAACATTGAAAATGTTGCAGGCTCGGTTTGATAAAGTAATGTTTACTTCTAGAGGGCGTCTTTAGCTGAATGGATAACGTCGTTAACTTCAAACTATTGGTCTCTCACTGCTGTGGGTTCGCATTCAACAGTTGTGTTGGATTCTCTTATGAAAGTAGTAATTTGGTGTCGGTAGTTCTGAAAGGGCCTTTCATGTCTTTATTAATGTACAGACGGGCAAACGAGATGGTACATTACGTAACAATTTTATTTAGCTGTATTAAATTTATGTCTTATCTAGTATCACTATTTTTATTTTTCAAGCTATTCATACGTGCTTAAAGTAGTCTGATTAAGTGGTGTTAACTTCAATTTTTACAATGATCGAATCATGTATGTTTTGCTTCATTCGTTATAATGATTTACTTCAGTAGTGTTTCCTTTATTCTGATTAGTTTGGGTCTCATACACCCGCACCCAACAAAACAATGTGAAAGATGTATATCATACTAATAATATTAAATTTTTGAAATGCTAACTGCATTAAAAGATCAATTTTAAATATGATTCGTTTATTCATAAAATGATTTTATCCAGTGATAGATGTTTATTGTATTTTCATAACAAATTTAAATAATTATGTTCATTTTTAATCATAATATTTAGTAATGTTAGAATGGCGGCGTGGCCGAGTGGTTAACACGTCGGACTAGTAATCTAAGGGGGTTCAAATCCAGTCAGGGACCAGCCGTTGTTTCCTTGAGCGAGAAAAATTTACAGTGCTTGCTTTGTACTGGTTGGTTCAGGCTCGGATTCGAGTGTTTCAATAAGCTTATAGCTTCCGACACTATCGAACCAAAATAAATTTGTATAAACTAAACTAGTAATGTTTATTTCATTTTTCATGATCAAATCAGGGAATTACTTCATTTATAGCTCTAATCTAGTAATGTTGAATAATTTGGAATAATGGTAGGATTACATTTTAATAATCGTAAAAATCCTCGCGTCATTTTATATTTTAATACAGTAAAGTTAACTTCATTTTATAATGTTTTGGTAGAACATAAATTTGATAACCTATTCGACATTTTTTATTTATTGTATTTCTTATCTATTTGCAGTGAAACAAAGAACGAAATGTGTGTTACAGCGACAGTTTCAGGTAAGGATATTATCCAGTTGACATTGGTCTGAATCTTCGCTAATGAGGTCTATTGTTAAGTAAATCAAGAACTGATTATCAAACGAAACTTTATCTTGTTTAAGATATTATATCCTTTTTTGTAAAGAGAATCACGTTTAAACTCTTTGAAATTATTTAAAAATGTCAAGTAACACAAAAAGATATGTATAAAAAATTATTTTGTAAGGTGTGTTATGAAAAAAATATTAATTGATACATGAAAAATGAATGTATTATGTAAAAAAAAACATAACTGGGCCTTTAACTTTGTTAAATAAAAAAGAACTGAATATCATTTTAAAAGATACAATCTTGAAATTGAAATTCATTAGTATGTATGTTACTTATCTATGTTGTTTATATGTTGTAGATGATAACAGGCAACAGATAGACACGGTAAGAAGTTTTTTTATGCAAACTGGAGAGCATATAGTCGCAGCCTTATCTTATAATTTGTTTAAACTGCACACAATCGTAGAGGGCATTGAGGCATATTGCTGTGCAAAAGAACCACTTTATTTTCCCTTTTTTGAATAATTTCCCGTTTTAGAAAAATCTTTTCCGGGGCATTACCTTAAAGCCCTTAGATATAATTTGTTTAAACTGCATGTGTGGTAGAGGGCATTTCGGCAGAGTGAAATCGATTTTACACAGTTTTTGAATTGCCTCCCCTTTTAGAAAAATCTTGTTAACCTGAAAACCCTTGTTTTACTTTGATCTTTGTCCGGGACATAGCTCTGAAACAATAAAAAGTATCAACAAGAAAATTTGTAGACAGATAGATTTCATTTAATAAAACTGCAATGCAAAAGAATCGTAACTGCTCTGCCGAATGTTGGACCTTTTTCAGTTTTACACTTTAAACTTTCCCGGGACATAACTCAAATACTATAAGAGATATTAACATGTAACTTTGCAGGTAAATTGTTATCATCTGGTTAAAGTTCCATTGCAAAAAAATCCAAAACTCTTCTTTCCCTATTTTTGGAATTATTGCCCTTTGTTCATTTTTTACATTTTAAACTTTGTCGGAAAGATAGCTCTGGAAACATAAGAGGTATCAACAAGAAACTTTGTAGGTAGATAGATCTTATTAAATAGAAGTGCAGTGAAAAAAACCGTAACTCTGCCTTGCCTGGTTTTGGAGTTATTGACCTTTTCAATTTTACATTATAAACTTTGTCCGTGACATAGCCATGGAACTATTATATGTATCAACAAGAAACTAAGTCGGTAGATAGATCTAATTAAGTAAAACTGTAGTGCAAAGAACAGCCTTATCTAGTTTTAGAATAATTGCACTTTGAACTTTGTCCGGGACAAAACACTGAAACTTCAACAGGTGTACTTTTCTGTGTCCAAACCTATTCGGTTCCAACCGGCTCTTGTTATTTTGTATTTGTTTAACAGACATACTGAAGATATGATAAGTAAACAGTTATGTTTCGATACTGTTGCTTGTTTAATATTTTTACAATATTTAAAACAGTAAAGAGTGTTTTAAATGCTGGCTTTGAAAAATAAATGTATGTAGCGATTGTGGGTTTATAAATTTAATAATAATTAAATAATTAAATACTTTAATAACAAATTAATTATACAAAATACATTTATTGTTATTAATATCAAAGGCAAAACCACATTTTCTGGACCCAACCATCTTGGACGACTCAACAATTATTTGCCAGACAGGCAAGTCGTGCCATATAGATTTATATTCGACGAACGGAGACAACTTTGGAGTGGCTGGAAAATGGTAACGAAATATATAAGTAATGTTACTAGCAGTTTAGCAAATTTCTTGCTCTTAAAACTAAACATTTAAAAGTTGTAACTATACGATAGCGTTGATATGGTGGATGAGTATTCGATATAATCTTAACTAGAATGAATACGGCTTCTATATATAGAGATGTACTTATGCACACAAAAAAGATTCGAATCGCCAGGCATAATGAATTTGCTGTTCCTGTCTTTCATAGTTATTTTTCAGTCTTAGACTATATGTGGTTTTTATCTTACGTTATGATGTTATGTACTTATGAATAATTTTCTTTTTTATTAAATGTTCATTTGCAGTCCAACGGTGTCAGAGACCGGTTTAAGTGACGCCAATGAAGTTCGCATATTTTCATCAATATACCAGACTGACAGTTGTGTCGCTGATGTCCTATATACAGCTAAAGAAACGAAAAAATTGTGTTTCCAAGTTTCATTTCCAGGGTAAACAATTAAAAGATTTTTCATAATTCTCGATTCCTCCTACAAATATTAAAAATTGAAGTGAATTTTGAGTATCGAATTCTAATATCTTCAGTGTTGCTTCTCATCGATAAAATTAGTTCACTAATGTTGTTTAATTTTTCTGGTTCATTAATTAATTTAATAATTTGGCGATATCGATTGACACTACAGACTAGTTAGTCAGATAAAAATATCTCATTTTAATATATACTTTGATAGTTATATAATTTACAGCAAACGAGGTGAAAGCAGATGTTATACAATAAAAGCCGTAACAGACTTATCAAACGAAGGTATTCTTTATCTACATGTAGATAAAATTTTATTTTGAATTTCGATTGACTGCTCAATACATGGTATATTAAAATCTCAAATGTATGTATTAGGTCGCAAGTTCACTCGCAACTACGATAAATATTATACATGACAATTTTCTAATTTTAGTGAAATATCCGTGTAGCGGTGCAATATGCAAAAATGGTGGGAAATGTATTTCCGACCTTATATCCATCCCTTTTAAATCATCATGTGTTTGTGCCCAAGGATTTAAAGGCAATGACTGTAATTTACGTAAGTTGTATTAACAATGATTCTTTGAATAGCACATATATAGATTCTCGGTCATTATTTTCATGGAAAATATTTTGATTTTGATCGCGCTGATTACATTGCATATTTCAGGTCATTGACCTGCTTGAAAAAATATCTAAACGATAAACATTGTAATATTCTATGGTAGTGCAACAGAAAACATCATTTTCATTGTATTATTCTCATGTAAAACTAATGATAAATATAATGCAATACATCTTTTAGTTAATTGATCTAATGTTTATCGTCCTTAAAATATGAGCATCCCCGAAAGGTTTGTTTTTGTGAAACATACTTTAATATTTCAGCCGTTAATAAAACGATGAGCCTACAGGGAATAAGCAATTTGCTTAACGGAACAGTTGTAGCCAATCAGTCCTTCGATATCTATGCTGCAGTGCCAAAACATGTTAACTGTGATGACCCAATCCGTTGCTGTGTAGTTGTTCCTTTCCATGGCGACGGCAATACACCGTAAGATTCTAACGGTTGTATTGACCTAATTTAAAACAAGTTATTTTTAAAGAGCTCTATTGCATTTCAAATTATGATATTTCTCCTAAATTAAAATGTATTTAGTTTCAAAACCCTTTTGGTTTGTTGTGTTTTATCATGTAAAATCAACTTTAATGTTTCATGTCTGTAGAATATGTTTAAATGATTTACATTGTAATAAGTAGTTTATTTTCATGTATAGACCAACTTTAGGATTCACAGACAGTGACCTGAGTATTGTTTCAAAGATAACCATTGCTGCAAACAATTCTCTCAACTCTTTACATTATTTCCAAACGTGTATGAAAGGACCGCCTGGAGGGAAACGTAGACTTTGCTTACAAACAACAGCAAATAATTTGCAACAAAGGTATATTCAGTACATAAGTCCGTATTTATATATATTTTATACTCAAGATTTAAGAGTAATTCCTCAATATAAAACAAATAGAGCATGATATCATAGGCCAATAACCCAAAAGGTTGAAAATTGGTACATGAGAGCTATTCACCTGCTATTCACCTATGAAGTTTCAAGCTAATATCTCTTTCAAATAATTGAGTAATCGCCTGTAAAATGCAAATTAAGGATGAAAAAAACAATACGAATGTTATTTTTAAAGATAAAATGTAAAATAAAAAATGAGAACAAAGAGCAAGAACTCTTAAAGAAAAAAATGAGGAGAATTGTCATTTTTGTCAATTGCATACCTTCTTACTGTTATCTATCCTCCAGTTAAGGTTAGAATTAATATTTCTTAAGCGTTATGAGTTATGGTCTGGACAAACAAAGTGTAAGATAAGAATGAAATAACTTTTGTAAGAATTAGTTTTCATTGTGGTGGACTGCTTCTTTATTAGATGTGTCCACATTTGGTTTCAAAAACTGTTTTAGTTTTTAGTTATGTTTGGACAAAAATGAAGCTTGAAAAATAACAAAGTGAGAAGAAAATATAAATAGGAGAGGCATATCTTTTGTGCACTGTTTCTCTCCCTAATAAGATCTATTCACCCTAACCCTGAAGATTTTAGTTGATATCTCAGATATTTTTCAAAACATATTTAGGTCAACATTAAGCATGAACAGTAAGTAAACTAGTAACTAAAAATTATGGAAGGCAGCGTTATAATTTGTATACAATACATTCTCCCGTAAGGGGTTTCACACCACATTTAAAACAAGAGCCGTCTGTAGCACAGAAACGCTCGACTGTTCTTAGTGCTTGATAGTAAAAAAAGTCTTGATTGAAAGGTAAAATTTTCTCAGTAAAGGAAAAGGCAATTTTTTAAATTCTTTAAATCCATATTACAGTTATAGGCCTTGGAGAGAGTCCTATAATGGTCTCAAAGAAGAGTATAAAATTTCAACATGTTTCAAAATTCTGGAAACAAAGTGATCCCTCGGAAGCATTAATCACAACAAAATAACTTAAGAATTGCAGAGTGGTTTGATTGAGTCTGTACATGAGGGATAATGAATAAGTGCAACATTGAGGTATTTTAAACGTAAATTCTAAGTCGAAAAAGGGGCATAATTCTGTCAAAATGCTTGATAGAGTTACCTCCTCCTGTTTACAGTTTGGGGTCATGATGGTCAACAAGTACATGCAAAGTTTTAAGGCCATATGTCAATGGACTATGAAAATATTTGAGGTATTACAAAAACTGTAACGTAAATTTTAAGTCGAAAAAGGGGCATAATTCTGTCAAAATGCTTGATAGAGTTATTTTCTCCTGTTTACAGGTTAGGGTTATGATGGTTAACAAGTATGCAAAGTTTCAAAAATCTGGAAGCAAAGTGATCCCTCGGAAGCATTAATCACAACAAAATTACATAAGAATTGCAGACTCTGTTTGATTGAGTCTGTGCATGAGGGATAATGAATATGTGCAACATCCCTCACGCCCCCTAGCACCGCCTTGAGTGGTACTCAATTCTCAACATTTAATAGTGCTGGCATCAATGATCCCGAAGGACCAGAAAAATATAACAACACTGAAGTGAAGTACGGGGCAATTTTTACAGCTGCCACACAGCACTTGACACCTGCTGTTGTGAAGTATAAAAATCTGGAAACAAAGTGATCCCTCGGAAGCATTTATCACAACAAAATTACAAGAGAATTGCAGACTCGGTTTGATTGAGTCTGTACATGAGGGATAATGAATATGTGCAACATCCCTCACGCCCCCTAGCACCGGCTTGAGCGGTACTCAATTCTCAACACTTAATAGTGCTGGCATCAATGATCCCGAAGGACCAGAAAAATATAATAACACTGAAATGAAGTACGGGTCATCTTTTTACAGCTGCCACACAGCACTTGACACCTGCTGTTTTGAAGTATAAAGATCCGGAAAAAAAGATCCTTCGGAAGCATTAATTACAACAAAATTACATGAAAACTGCAGACTCGGTTTGTTTTAGACTGTACATGAGGGATAATGAATATGTGCAACATCCCTCACGCCCCCTAGCACCGGCTTGAGCGGTACTCAATTCTCAACACTTAATAGTGCTTGCATCAATGATCCCGAAGGACCAGAAAAATATAACAACACTGAAGTGAAGTACGGGGCAACTTTTTACAGCTGCCACACAGCACTTGACACCTGCTGTTGTGAAGTATAAAAATCTGGAAACAAAGTGATCCCTCGGAAGCATTAATCACAACAAAATTACATAAGAATTGCAGACTCGGTTTGATTGAGTCTGTACATGAGGGATAATAAATATGTGCAACATCCCTCACACCCCTAGCACCGGCTTGAGCGGTACTCAATTCTCAACACTTAATAGTGCTAGCATCAATGATCCCGAAGGACCATATGTCAATGGACTTTGAAAATATTTGAGGTATTACAAAAACTTTAACATAAGTGGTTACGCCGACGCCGACGCTCGGGTGACTACAATAGCTCTACTTATTCTTATCGAATAAACGAGCTAAAAATGAGAACAGAGAACAACAATGCATGGTAACGTTCACAAAGCGCAGCCATCTCTGAACAAATAGCCAAGTTGATACCTCAAATTCTTTTCGAGTTATGCTCTGTATAATGAGCATGATAATATCAAAGGAAAATAACAATAACTAAAATTATTGATGAGTGTCATTCTAGTGAAAATCAATATGACAAAAAGTATTAATGCTCCGGACAAAAAATAATTGTAAAGTTATCATTGAAATCCTCCTAAATGAAATCTTTTCAGCTATGAACTTTCAAATTGATATTTCAAATACTTTTTACGTTACATACCGGACAATAAATAACCATAGAAAATGATTAAGTATGAAATATAACTAATAGGCAATAATTCATAATTTATAAAATCAAAGGGCAATTACTCAATAACCAGAAATGGAACAGTTATTATCCGAGTTTAAGTTGTGGGACGGACGAACGCAGACTATTACCATATCCTTTGTGTTATTTAGAATATGATATGTATATTTCTTGTATCACACCACCATCAGTTTAAAGCAGCACGCCTCTAAATTTATGCCTATTTTCATGAAATATTTTAAAATAGAATTCAATAGTGAAATAAAGATGAATAATGGAAGTAATATAAAGATTGCAAACGACACTAAAATCTAATAAAATTACCAATATGGACAATAATACGGAATAATAGCCCTTAGTTCGTTAGTCACTGGTCACCCAGTAGAAATATGGTGATAGATACTGCAAAATCAGTCAAAAGTTGCATACACGTTTCATATTACTTTTCTTAAAATGTTCAGTGTGCTTTCTGTAAATAGTTTTGCTTATCTGGGAGCATGCAGTTTTAATGTTGTCTGTTTCATCATAAACATTATTCTTACATTTTTGTAAATCTACTGATTTCATTGAAACTATTTACTTAAAACGTTATGTTAATGTTTTCAGAATTAATGTTGATGAAATATGCATCGAGGTAGAATTTAACGATCAAGGTAATGTATTACTAAATTAATTTAAACGGCCCTGAATATGAAACATAATTTATTAGGATGAGTTTGAAAATTTATTTGTTGTAAAAATGTGTCCATTGTGTTAAATGTGTGACAAGACGCATGTATACTGATAGATCTTTTGAGAATATAGAATTAAATAAAGACTTTGTGAGTTATTGGAAGAACCATAGACATTGTAAATTGAATATAAGTATAGTTGTGAATTCCATTTGAATGTGGTTTTATTTTGTATATTTTATTTGTTTTTTAGATAAAGGTGTTCCTTTGGTAAGATATTTGTCTTAAAAATTAGATTTATTACCCTCGCGCTTTTAATACATGCTTATCATAAAGAAACTGAAAAAATAGAAAAACACCTAAATTCAGACCAAAGAACTTCAGAATAGATGTCTGTTGCTAAAAATATTAATTATAATATAAAAAAACCATTATTATGGTCGTTGTTCTTCTCTTACATATAAGACCTAAACGTAGATATGAATCATGTAATAGTTTAGAGAACATGAAACTGCATTTTTTTTTAAAAATAAGTTTACCTTTGTCATCTCATCTTTAATTAAGTTTCGAAGAAATGGAAGAAAATAAAATGAACGAGTAAGAGATATAAATAAAATATTATGCTTTACTTTGAACTTATGGTTGAAGAAGGTAATATTATATAATTTCAGACAGAACACAAATTTACAGGAGGTCTATCAAATGGATCCAGTGTTTTATGTCAAACTTCTTCTATGTGTCATATTCCAATTATTACGGACCAAAAGTCTGGAATTTGGTAATGATTTATCTTTTTCTGTGCAGTGATGCCTCATTTCATATACAATCAACTCTATAACGACGATATAATAATTTACTTGAAAAATAGATACATTTATGAATACCGCAGTACATATCCCTTGCAGTCTTGGTGTATAGTCATGCATAGGTCTATTTCCACAACATTACACATTTAGTGTGTAAAATTCACAATGTGTATATTTTACATATGCACATATTTATGGGAATATATCAGAGATCTTTAATTAAACGTATTTCACTGTATGCTGTTGGGAGATTGATTAATAATCTATATCTAAATTGTTCACCATTATGAGGGTTTGCTCTCATATTGTCTGTCTTTTTATCTGTCATTTTATCATTTTCAATTCAACAATTGTTTCTGTCATTTCTTTTCTCCTCAAACAATTATAATCCCGTAGGTTATGGAGGTGGACTCATAAATATCTTTATCTGAAACATGTCAACATTTATCAATTTAACTTTGATAAGTCATAATTACCCAGTCAGAAATGAATGGAACATATAAATTGCATTATATAAAATTATATATTTTTATCAAGTGAACAATTAAAGGAATGTGGAGAAGGTCTAGCAGGAACGCATGTATTTACTACTGAAAACATTGACAATAAATGTGTGACGAATGTAGCTATCAGAACAAGTGGAGATGAAAAAACAGAATCACTCTGTATTTCGGCTGGGTGAGTTACTTACCTAAAAGGTTTTTGCATTTTTATGTACAAAGCTGTGTAAGGAAGATATTGATAAACAAACATTAAAGCTACACGCCTCCAGATGAGCGAAAATATTTCAAGAAATTCAATCTTTAGAAAAATGTATAAAGATCTTACGAAAAGTAAAAATATTCAATATTTAATTAGTTATTTTCATTTTATGTGCGGTTAATGATTGATTTTGCAGTATCAATCATTATAATTTTATTGCGTTACTAACGCAATAAGAGGCATTTATGTATGACCTCTTTTTTGGTTATTAACGTGGATTGTAAGTGCCATTTGCAATTTGTAAATTACTTTCTTTGTTTACTTTTAAATACATTTTCAAAATTTTCATGAAAATCTGGAGGCATGCTGCTTTAATATTTCAAAACAATTTTAACAATTGAATATAAAGATGGACAAGTAAACTCACTGTTATTTCCTATTTCTTATACCTTTGTTTCTGTTCACAGATTTGGCGGCGAAGAAAATGTTATAAAAGTGATAACTACAACAACAAGAGGTAAGCAATAAATTTATAAAATTATTTTAAAAGACTGTTGTTGATTCGTGATAAAATCTTGAAAAGATTATAACACAATAAACATATTAACGTATAATGATTTATTGTACAAGAGACAACTTTTTCAATAACAAAAAGATTTCACTAATCACATTTCAGTATCTCGTATAACATGCTTAATAAGTCTTTACCATTGCCCTGTGACCATTTCTATCTTAATACAAAACATAATAGCAAATATCAATAAGTGAGGGCGAATTTAAAAGATCACAAACTCAACAAAAATCAACTTTCATTGTGTAAAAAAAAAATTGTATATCATAATTATATACTATAAATGACACTATGTACAGAATTCAGTCCATGTAGCAAGAAACATTGTTTAAACGGAGGACGATGTGTGTCAACAACCAACACAATAGCTGTGTGCAAATGCCAACCAGGGTTTTCCGGCGATCTTTGCGATACAGGTATTATCAAAAGTGTAAACTTTAACGAAACTTTTTGATCATTTATATTATCGCCATGTATTTAAAGACAATCAATTCGATCAGGACACACGCAGTTCTATGTTGACAAGTATATGCCAATCATGTGTACTTCACTTCAGTGTTGTTTATTTTTCTAGCCTTCCAGCACTTTAAGGTGTTTTAAATTGAGTACCACTCAAGCCGGTGCTAGGAGGAGTTAGGGATGGTGTACGTTTTCATGATTTCTCATGTACAGACTCAATCAAACTGAGTCTATAATTTTCATGTTATTTTGCTGTTTTTTATTCTTTCAAGGGATCACTTCTTTCCAGATATTAACAAATATTTATGGCACTGTCTAAAACATAGCGCTATGATTATTTTGGAACGTGTTCCTAGTCACATGTGAAAAATGGTTACATGCAAACTATCAAATAATAAACAAACAAATGTTTGCCCTGACTCTAAATCACGATGTTTATTTTTTCGTCATATCTTTTTAAACATTGCATGGTTTATACACGTACTTAAACAGTTAAACTATATTTATATAATCGGGATGTATAATGTTATATCATTATGCGGTTGTTTTATTGAATCATAATCAAGACAAAAGTTATACAATTTATCTGGAAAAAATTTAATTAAATTGACAGGAATTTCTTGAACAATAATAACAGAAATAATCTCTGTGCAATAATACGGCTGGAATTCTTGAAAGTTATTGCCTAATTCAAATGTCAAGTTTAACAGATTATTTAGTTGTACGAGGATTGGTCAATATGAAATGCAATATAAAGTAGCGCATCTGTTTTCAAATCATATGTGTAGTCAACCGATCGTAAGGTATGGCCGGTTAACGCTCTGTATAAGGGGCTTAAAAACGAGCTTGTATAAAAGTTAAAGTAATATTTTGAAAACCAGCTATAATCGGTAATATTTATGTCAATAATTAAGCATTTTATGCAACTGTATTGAAGTGGCTGCATATATTTAAATGGGCACGAGTCAATTAAGTTTCGCAGAACGACGCTTCATAGTTACTGAAAAGAAGCTCACAAAGTCTAGTTCATCATTGATCAAGATGCCAATTACATACTCATTTTCCTAAATAACATATATCGCAGTGATATCAGAAGAGTCCACTCATATGATTCTGAGGAATCACTTGAAAGTTAGCCGAATACCTGCTAGTTGGATATCCCATTTGCTTTTATCTAAGGACAGGAAGTTTTGAGCTAAGTGTGCTTGGCAATTAATGAAAATGTTTCTTAAATATGACAATCGCCGTTTTTGTAATGTTGTGACTGGTGATGAAAGCTGTAACTGTCCTTAAAAAAAATCCACTTTTTTACCAGATATAAAGACTTATATATGTATAAATATAAACGGCACAGAGCCACATTTACAAAACACTCTTCAAAGATATATGTCTCTTAACGTTTGACCATTTTAGTGCATTATATCCGTTTTGAAGAGTATTCAAATAAGCTAGAAAGTTAATGCATATTTGGTTCAAAATTAAGACGCGTCAACATTTTTTTTCTTAAACATTATTCATGTTTCTTTCAGATCCATGTTGAAAGAAAAAAGAAAAAAAATGTTTAATTATAATTAATATATGTATTTATTGACTAGATAGATCTACATCTAATAACACATATGGCTTCTGATATTTTCAAAGTCTAATAAAAACAAAACTACACACAAAAGCATGAAAAGGGTTTCATATTTTACTAGATCAACTAATAGACCTTTGAAAAATATTAGCGAAACAATTCCTTATTTTGTTAAATTTTAGGGATTTTTTTTAAATTAGGCTCTCTAATAAAGAAAATGGTCAAACACGTGCAAAAACGGGTGGAGTAGGGTAACATTTTTATACATTTTTCATAAATTTTGAGAAGAAACAATCATTTTGCATGTGTGGATTGTTAACTGAATGTTATCTTCTTTTTTTCTAAACAATACTTTATGGAAAACACTTTTAATAAGAATGATATTGAAGATTTGTTTTTATAAGATTCCGAACATTTTTGAAGAAAAAATATTATGAATCGATATCATAATTTCCAGCTTTAATGTTAAAAAAAACGTCAAATGATATCCGCTCTGCTCAGTCAACACAAACTATTGTTGAAAATAGATGTGCAACAAATACACTTAAGCACAGCGTAATAATGGTATCAAATTATTAAGGCGAAGTTGATATGTATTCGAAGAAGCTAGGCTAGCCGCGTTTTCCAGCATAGCCCTTAGCTTCTTGATGTTCTTATTTTAAATCTAATTTAAATAACAAAGGCATATATGATGAACATTGAATTCATAAAATAATCACTAAGCTCTAAATTTAGTTTTAATGACATTAAGCTCCTAATGAATTTACATGTATAAGGATCTGTCTTAAATTTTCTAATTGCATTGCCAATGATATCTTAAACATTTTTATTAGCTTGTGACATGTAAGCAAAAATGCAAAAATTCTTGTCTTTAGTGTTCTTTTATGATCTAGTATCAACAACAGTACCAACAAAAAATACTGTCTCGACAACACCTATTCCAACAACAGGCACTACCAAAACTGTTCCAGTGACAATACCAACATCGGCGTCTAAATCGTCAGGTACAGTTTGCATCGCCATAGCATGATTGTGTTAAAGTAGCATTTCTTTCCGAATAACATTATCTTTAAAAGTGAAATAATTATTTAAAAAATCAAAAAATTAAGAAATCGTTAAATTTCAAAATAATCATTTAAGAAGACATGTCTAACATTTTTAATTTTGATCGATCTGATCAAATTACTTTTATTCGTAATTTTATTTTTTAAATATATATTGTTTTAAACAGATGTGCAACAAATACACTTAAAGGGACATCACTGAGGTTTAAAAGCCTAAAAGACATAAATTTAAATTTCTTACATAAATGATCTGGGACACTTTAAACAGAAATATATGAAAAAATAGTTAAAAAATATACTTTGAAATAAATTGAAAATCGTCTTTTTATGATTTTCTAAACCTGATTTGAGTGAAATGAGTTTAAACTCTTTTCATTTTGGGTCATTTCTTTACAATTTGAATAATTATTCTGGAAAAACCAAGTGCGCGAATGATCTGAAATTTTGCACAAAGATTAGTGGTCTAAACCTACATTAAATGTAACATATATCTGGAAAAAATATTTTCAGTCTCATCATGTCTAAAAACCTCAGTGGTGTCCCTTTAAGCACAGCATACTAATGGTATCAAATTATTAAGGCGAAGTTGACATGTATTCGAAGAAGCTAGGCTAGCCGCGTTTTCCAGCATAAACCTTAGCTTCTTGATGTTCTAATTTTAAATCTAATTTAAATAACAAAGGCATATATGATGAACATTGTATTCATAAAATAATTACTTAGCCCTTAATTCAGTTTTAATGAAACTGAGCTCGTAATAAATTTACATGTATAGGGATCTGTCTTAAACATTCTCATTGCATTGCCATATCTCATACTTTTTTATAAGCTTATTGTATGTAAGCAAAAATGCAAACATTATTGTCTTTAGTGTTCTTTTATGATCTTGTATCAACAACAGTACCAACAAAAAATACTGTCTCGACAACACCTATTCCAACAACAGGCACTACCAAAACTGTGTCAATAACAACGACAATACCAACACCGGCGTCTAAATCGTCAGGTACAGTTTGCATCGCTATAACATGATTAAATGTGTTAATAGAGCATTCCTTTCCGAATAGCATAATCTTTAGATAGTGAAATAATTATTTAAAAAAATCAAGGCAATTAAGAAACCGTTGAATTTCAAAGTAATCATTTTAGAACAAATGTCTTACAATTTTCATTTGGATCGAACTGATAAAGTTACTTTTAATCGTAATTTAATTTTTGAAATAAATATTGTTTATAAACAGATGTGCAACAAATACACTTAAGCATAGCATAATAATGGTATCAAATTATTAAGGCGAAGTTGACATGTATTCGAAGACGCTAGGCTAGCCGCGTTTTCCAGCATAGCCCTTAGCTTCTTGATGTTCTTATTTTAAATCTAATTTAAATAACAAAGGCATATATGATGAACATTGAATTCACAAAATAATTACTTAGCTCTTAATTCAGTTTTAATTAAATAAAGCTCCTAATGAATTTACATGTATAGGGATCTGTCTTAAACTTTCTCATTGCATTGCCAATGATATCTTATACTGTTTTATAAGCTTGTTATATGTAAGCAAAAAATGCAAAAATTATTGTCTTTAGTGTTCTTTTATGATCTAGTATCAACAACAGTACCAACAAAAAATACTGTCTCGACAGCACCTATTCCAACAACAGGCACTACCAAAACTGTTTCAGTGACCTCGACAATGCCAACATCGGCGTCTAAATCGTCAGGTACAGTTTGCATCGCTATAACATGGTTAAATGTGTTAAAGTAGCATTTCTTTCCGAATAGAATAATCTTTAGAAAGTTAAATCATTATTTAAAAAAAATCAAAGTACATGTAGTTAAGAAACCGTTGAATTTCAAATTTGTAAATTTGATTTTTTAAATATATATTGTTTTTAAACAGATGTGCAACAAATAAACTTAAGCACAGCATAATAATGGTATGTATCAAATTATTAAGGCGAAGTTGACATGTAATCGAAGAAGCTAGGCTTGCTGCGTTTTCCAGCATAGCCCTTAGATTCTTGATGTTCTTATTTTAAATCTAATATTTAAATAACAAAGGCATATATGATGAACATTGAATTGCATTGCCAATGATATCTTTTACATTTTTATAAGCTTTTTATATGCAAGGAAAATATGCAAAATTATTGTTTTTAGTGTTCTTTTATGATCTAGTACCAACAACAGTACCAACAAAAAATACTGTCTCGACAGCACCTATTCCAACAACAGGCACTACCAAAACTGTTTCAATAACATCGACAATACCAACATCGGCGTCTAAATCGTCAGGTACAGTTTGCATCGCTTTAGCATGATTAAATGAGTTAAAGTATCATTTCCTTCCGAAAAGCATAATCTTTACAAAGTTTAATAATCATTTAAAAAATCAAAGTAACTAAGAAACCGTTGAATTTCAAAGTAATCATTTAAGAAGACATGTATAACACTTTTAATTTTGATTGAACTGATATAGTTACATTTATTCGTAATTTGATTTATTAAATATATTTTGTTTTTAAACAGATGTGCAACAAATAAACTTAAGCACAGCATAATAATGGTATCAAATTATTAAGGCGAAGTTGACATGTATTCGATGAATTTAGGCTTGACGCGTTTTCCAGCATAGCCCTTAGCTTCTTGATGCTCTCATTTTAAATCTAAATTTAAATAAAAAAAGGCATATATAAGATGAACATTGAATTCATAAAACAATTCCATGGTTTTTTATTCAGTTTTAATGAACCTTAGCGCGTAATGAATTAAGATGTATATGGATGTGTCTTAAACTTTCTCATTGCATTGCCAATGATATCTTTTACTTTTTATTAGCTTTTTATATGTACGCAAAATATTCAAAAATTATTGCCTTAGTGTTCTTTTATGATCTAGTACCAACAACAGTACCAACGAAAAATGCTGTCTCGACAACACCTATTCCAACAACAGGTACTACCAAAACTGTTTCAATGACCTCGACAATACCAACATCGGCGTCTAAATCGTCAGGTACAGTTTGCATCGCCATAGCATGATTAAATGTGTTAAAGTAGCATTTCTTTCCGAATAGCATAATCTTAAGAGAGTGAAATAATTATTTAAAAAATCAAAGAAGTTAGAAAACTGTTGAATTTCAAATTTTTAAATTTGATTTTTTTAAATATATAATGTTCCTAAACAGATGTGCAACAAATAAACTTAAGCACAAAATAATAATGGTTTCAAATTATTAAGGCGAAGTTGACATATATTCTATGAAGTTAGGCTAGTCGCGTTTTCCAGCATATCCCTTAGCTTCTTGATGCTCTATTCAAAAATCAAATTTAAATCACCATAACTAAACCTTGACATGTATGATGAATATTAATTAATAAAACAATTTCAGGGTTCTTTATTCAGTCTTAACGAATTTAACATCGTAATGAATTTATATGGTACGGTCCTAAACTTTCTCCATGCCACAAATATCCAAAATAATCTGATACTTTAAATCAATTTGTTAGCTTCAAGACAATATTTATTTTTTTTAACTGTCTATAGTATTCTTTTATGATCTAGTATCAACAGCAGAGTCAACAACAATTACAACACCTTCATCAGCTACTGCCACTACTCTTTCTAAAGTGTCCGATCGTGTCAAGACAACCCAAACTATGTCAGTTACCTCGACAATTCCAACACCAGTTTCTAAATCGTCAGGTACAGTTTGCTTCGCGATAATATTATAAAAATTGTTAAAATAGCAATTCTTTTCGAATAGCATTATCTTTAGAAAATTGATAAACAAATCAAGGTAAGGCAGAAACCGTTGAATATTAATGAAATTATTTAAGAGGTAATGTCTAAGACTTTTCATTTTGATCGGACTGATATAGTAAATTATTATCTGGTATGATTTTTAAATATATTAAACAAAATAATTTGACGTATTTCCATACTTTTATTTTAGCAATTGTGAACTTACAGTGTATATCTTATAACCCTCTTAATTTCTCTCATTAACAAATATCCACAAAAGAAACCACATCAACTAAGGTCTCGACGAAACTTTCGTCAGCTACATTCATTTCTGCATCAAACCCGACGAATGGTGGAAGGACAAGCCAAACGGCTTCTAAGAAAATAACCTCGCAATTAACAACTCAGGCATCTGAATCTTCAGCTATAGGTTATACCGCTATAGTGTGATACAATTAGAATATGTTACTAAATAATCTAAATAATTAATAAATATGTAAATGAATGTCATTATTATTTTGTTGTCATAGAATGTCAATTAAATAGATAAAAACAGAATCCCTAAAGAAAGTCCAACACGACAAAATTGAAAATGAATGTTGCAGGCTCGGTTTGATTGAGCCTGTTTATGGACGGTACTGGAAAATGCAAGTTATCGTCTACGCCCCTAGCACCAGCTTAAGCAGAATTCAACATTTAAACATGAAATAGTAAAATTTTGAATTAAGAAACATCCGCAGATGTGTTCATACGGCGGTTAATAAAGCCTCGAAGATTTTTATGTCAGATAAAAAAAGCTGGTGAACTGGTGGATAATATAAATAAGTAAAAATATTTTTATAAGTTATCAGACCTAGTAAAACAGTTGTTAGCTGACAAAAACCTGACACACATTTACATTATACGAAGATATCAACATACTTTATGTTTTAAACTTGTCTTTATCTTTTTTACCTGACCTATTATCATTAACAGAAACAACCACGACTTCTGTCTCGGCAACTTCTTTGTCTGCTGTAAAAACAACTTCCTCAAAACTGACGGATGGTGTAATGAAATTCCAAACAGTTTCAAAGACTTCAAGTCTTCCAGTATTTTCGTCTAACTTATCTCACACAGGTTAGTCTCTTAGAACGAATACTGATTCTGATTTTTTTTAATGATTGCGTTTGTTTGTGTGCGTAAATTGCACTGAAATGTTAAATAAGATTGTTCACTAGACCTTTATAAATCAATGACATGTTAGGTCAAACGGTAATACATTGAAGTTATTATTTCTGTAGACTGTCATTACAAAATACATTACATTAATTTATGTGTGTTGTTTTTAGATAATTGTGACAAGACAAAAGGTAAGCTATTTTCGAAAAATAAAATATATCAATGATCACTGTAATAACAATACTCAGAATACACTGGGAAAAGGAAAAAATATAACGGCCTGTCAATTATTTAGAAGTAAATAAAGGGATATGCTTCTACGAATTATCTATTACACAGTCTATTAATTATTTAGAATAAGCATAAGAATATAGTTCCCTATTAATTCTCGTAGCTCCCATTTATAAATGTACTTGCCTAGCGAACTTATTCGCACCGCAAATCCTAATATATAAACTGAATTGTGATATTTATCTATTCATAGAAAAGCTTACATAAAAATATAGGGCTTAATACATGCAATGGGGTTTCTATGACATTAAAATAGTCAAATACGTTTTAAGAAATGTGTACATGTATTTGTAGTTTACAATAAAATGTAAGAATATTTACAATCCATGTGAGTTTTTATATAATTGTGCAAAGTATGACATAATTTAACAGCAAAGCAGATCAAGAGAAATGACTATTAATCGATTTTCTTATGTGGATAAATAGTGTCTTGTGCTAGATTGAACCATCTACGAGACAAAAATTTTGCTCATAAATGTAATTTAAAAAATTCGAAAACAACAAGAATCTGTATGTGTTAAACCACTATAAACATTGATATATGTATATTCCTAATTTTGTTATTCTCTTGCATCCCTACATGTTTAAGTATCGTTAAAATTTAATTTTTAATTCTATTTTAGCTAAAGAACACGCTGTGAGTACTTTACTTTATTGAATTGCATATCATATGAAAAACTTTGAAATGCCTTTCCTCATTGATTTAAATGTAACATTTTGCAATTAAAGAGCATATTCTTGAATACCACAAAAGGACCTGACAACTTACAGTTACGTTCGTCTTTCTAATTTCGTAATTTCAAAACTTGCAGATAAAATTTCACGCATTTTATTTGTGTCTTTGTGCGTTGAATGAATGTGACAAATTGGACTCGAACTCAAGATCTCTCACATCCTAAGCGAAAAGATAACCGCTGCACTACGGGCGTCAGTAAAATTATCATGAAAAAGTCAGAAGCAAATTAAATTGGAATTTTCCTTATGTTAGAAATAACAGTAAGTTCACTTTCTGAGCAGACTTAAAATGATGAAAATGATATTATTAATACAATGTCGTGCGATTTCTTTGCTGAACATGTTACTACACATTTGTAGAATTTACATTAATTGACAATGTATTCTTAGAAGGGAGTCGCTTCCTACTAAAAGTTATTTATAGACATCATAAAAAGAAAGCAATATTGCCTCGGTCAATATCTTAGTATGCATGTATCTTACACACTCACATGGAGAAAAGTCATAAACATGACATCAAAATTAATAACTTATTCAAGTGATAGCAAAATAATTTTCTAATCGTAGGACTTTGAAATACCAACAAATTTTCTGAAGCTGTTAAACGCATATGAATGCAATCAATTGCCGTCTTTGTGAAAGGTCGTAAATTTAACTTAAATATTGACGAGAGTACCCTGCCGATTTTGCACAAACGAGGACCATGGATTGTCTGAGGGATGGATATTCAGATCACAGCAAAGACAAATAAGATATTTTAGTGAATATTCAACCAATAATGCTTTCCCATACCAGTCGATATTTCTAGCATGTATAAAACTAATGGATGGAAACCCAAGTCTAATATGCAAGAAAATATAGATGAATATAATATAGATTGATGTTAGTATAATGTTTGGTCGGTTTAAGTGGTTAGTTTTTACGCCGATTTTAACAATTTTTTATATGTATTTGGATATATATATTCTTTTGATGATATATTTAGTCATGTCGGCGATCGGTCCACCTATCCGGTTTTGATACAAACTGTAAAGTAATTTCCAATTTGTCTGTTGTTGTTGTTGTTGTTGTTTCACATACTAATCTTGATGTCAGTGTAAGGATAATTACAAATATACTTGACGGAGTATCTTCAGTCTAGATGATGTCAGTATGATATGTCTGGGCGGAGTATCACTGTTCAGCTCAAATCGAGAATATTCTTACTTGACGTGGTATTGCCGGTCAACTTAAAATCTGTTTGATATGACTTGCTTAAGAAAAATATCTTATGATTTGATAATGTATTTATATGGTATTAAGAATTATTTCAATATCAGTATGACTACTGGGAGTAAAGAATGATGTACCTTACATTACCGTTCATGAACAGATTCAATAAAATCGAATCTTCAATTTTCTCCTTTACTTTCGTCTTCCGTGAATCCGCAGAGCGATAATAAAGTAAACCTTGATGATATTGTATGCGCTGTATACACAAAATAGTTGAATTGATAAAGAAGACGCTGTAATCCAGCAAACTACAGCTAGGAAATAATTTAATTGGTGTCTTTATAATTCTGTGTAGAATATAAGTCATACCATCAGTAAGCTTAAACATATTTCTTTAGTTTACATAAGATAACGATTTTCATTTCATTTTATTCTTCATATTTTCAGAAAAAAATGGTTAAAACTGGTTATGCTAGCTGTTTTTGCATGGTGAAAGGAAAGAAAATGTATATCATAAAGAAGAGACCAGTACCAGAGAAAACGAATATGATGAAAGCAGCCGGGTTTGGAGCTGGGGGAATGGTGGGAACGCTGACTATCGGCGTTATCATCTATGCAATTGTTAATGCAAAACGACAACCAGTATCAATGAAACCTACGTCTCGCCCTAAAAGGATATCACGTGTACGTCCAGATATATATTAAATACAACATATTGCGACTACAAACTATGAACTATATTGTTAATCTTAATATATGACGTATTTCTACTTAGCTTTCATTTAGCATATAAAGTCAAATGTGTTTGTAGTGTTCTATGTTCTTAATTGCACCTTTTTATCTAAATGTATAAATGGAACATAAAAAATGATTAAGACAAATATGTTTCACAACCTTCGTGGAAAAATGGTGAAAATTAGCATTTACATTTTTCTGTAAGAACGAACATCACACTATTTTGAAATAATTAAAATCACACCTGTATACCTTTATCTTGCATATCGATGAACAATACTTTTAATTTAATAGCTTTATTTGGCTTGATGTAGATACTGCAACTGTAATAAAGTATATTCTGAGCATTATCAGGTTTTCTTCATTTAACATAAATTCTAACCCTATCGGAGGATACCCTTATATAAACAAAGAAGACCGGAAAGTTGATATATTTCAAAGCAGATACACTCGCCGTTCCTATTTCACCAAACCGATAGATTGACGGCCCCAATTTGTCAAAACTATCTGATAAATAAGAAAATAATGTTGACTTTTGCTCTAAAACTATCTAGAATGATAGAAAATGGTCTAACTAAGAAAATAAAATCGATCACCAATATCTTTAATTCACTAATTAACGCTGTAAAGTCGTTTGAAGTGTTGTTAAAGTGACGTCACAATTCAGCGTCAAACGGCGTTTGCAAAAAGCGTAAAAATCGATATTTTAATGTTGCAAAACAATTAAAAAACACTTTTTAATGTCACTAAAAATACATTGTATTTCTCTTGGAAAAATATATAACAAAATAAAATAAACACAAAAGACTTTATCAACGTTTTCAAAATTTGTTTTTCTCAAAATGATAATGCAAAAGATGGCAGTTCACGACAGTTTTATTCAACTGAATAGAATAACCTTTAAAGAACGTTGGTATTAGAAATTATGAGGCGAAAACAAATTTAACTTAGATAAAGTTAAATTTTCAGAAACTGATAACTTTTTGTTACCTGAGTGTGAAAGACATTTAAACAGAATCAGTGATATTTTATGGCTTGGCAATTCGTTTGAAATAGATAGTTTCTCCAATTTCGAGGAAAAGGCGTTTCTACGCCCTTTGCAAATCTGTAAATTCTGACTAAAATTGACTGTCACGTGATACGTTTTGGAATGAACAATGCATTTTCTTGCATAATAGTTGTTAAAGGGTTGATTATATTGTAAATTATTGTCATTTTAGTCATAATATTGTGATTTGTGTAGAAATATGTTTACGTATTTTTGGACACAAAATTGCCTGTCGGACCTCAGTGGAGTGCCTTTCAGAATGGAAATCTTGAGCATTCTGTGTTATACATATATCACGGTATGTCGTTCAGATGTTTGTAATTAATCACTTAGGTCTATGGCATTCGTTATTATATTACTGCGCATCTGAACTCCACAATGCTATATTAAAGCACATATCACTCAGTTGCAAAACAAAGGTCTATTTCCTAAATGAACACTTCGATGGGAACCTACTTGGTTGCAAGCGACCAAAATGAAGTTTCTCGGCAATTTCAAACAGTTCACTTTATTAATGTTTATCTGAATTAAGAACAGTGTTCCAAGACATCTTTAAACAAACTTTTTAAAACTGTGAAAATGACGTCTTGTCATAGACGAAGTAAGTTCTTGAAGTTTTCATGTTGCCATACCACAGAACACCTACATTTATTCAAACATAAAATTTTGTCCTTTTTTGAACTTTAAAGCATAATAAATTACAGTGATTTTTCTAACTAAGAAGCTCAAACACATCAATGATATATCACAAACCTTTGTTACGATATCCTCTGGACCGGGTTGTTCAAAACATTGGTTAGTTATTAATAATAACCAACGGATAAAATCATTATCCACTGGCTAAAATTGTCTGTTGGATAAATTATGTTGTTCAAAAGTTATCTAACGCATACAATGCGTTATCCAGTGGTTAACTTTTACCAGTCCTATGACCACCGGATAATGTCCTTAACCAGTGGTTAGCAATCATCATAAAAACAATTAAATCATTAAAACTTGTTTAAAACCAGATTTTCTTATAAATGTATGTTTATTTTTTTGTAAACTAGAGTATTTCATATGAAATGTATAGGAATAAATTGAGAATTTCTAAAAAAGTGCTTATGGAACCCTTTAATTGTTGTTGTAGAAAATTCATTTTAACAGTCAAAACTTTCTTATTCTTTAATAAAACATACAAGTGTCGGTATTCTTTTTCTTAGTTTGAACATTACCCATCTAATGAAAGTAATTTCAATTCAAAATTTGATAAAAAAAAATTGATTTTTTTTCTTATGTGTGTCTGAGGAAAAAAATATATCTAACGATACTTTAAGGCCTTTGATATACTTTTTGTTAATATACAAAAAACATGGAAGCACAAAACCTGCAAAATTAATTCTTTGGGAGCTTCCTAATTCTAATAAATTTATTATTCATCAATAAATCTGCCATTTTGTTTCCAGTATCACTAACCGGCCCTGCTGCATTGTGGTACTTAACTTGTGGATAAATACACAATCCACTGGTTAGGTAGCCAGGGTACTATCCAACTGTCGAACACTAGATAGCAGGCCGTTGGTTAAGGATTTAACCAGTGGATAAGCTATCCATTGGTTAATTTTAACCAATGTTTTGAATAACCCGGTCCTGTGGTTATCAGATTTTGAAACAATCTGAAATTCATTAAAGAAATGGACATAACCTGCAGCTAGGCAGCTGACGGTTTTATCTTGATACTACTAAAGTGATAAGATAAATTATTTGGTAAACGAAATCTAATTACGTTCTAGCTTTAAATTACAATGGCATTTAGAACGACGATATATTGATATTACAGATAACTATTTTAGATATGGAACGAGCAGAAATTACAGTGTCGTATGAGAATTAATACTTATTGTTTTATACATTGTAACAAATTGTAGGTCTTTTGATGCGCTTTGACAAGACCTGGCAGTCGGCAAAATTTTATGTGGCCAAGTAAAGAACTCTAGTGCAAAAATGACGTAAAAATAGGAATATTTCAATTGATATTTATACACACTAAAAAGTCATTTGCAAACATAATTCAAGATTAGGATGATATATTAGTAAATTAGCAAAGTGTTATATATGTTTAACACTTGAAGATGCTGATTATTTGTAAATTTGACAAGTGAATTAGTTATTGTGTTAAATATTAAAAGCGACCAGTAGAATTGCCGCAGATAGACACAGGCTAGTATTATTAATCCGAGGGTATCTAGCTAATGCAAACAATCTGAGTGAATTGATAATGTCACGCAAGTTCAACAAGACAAGACAAATTATTACTTAATGTCAAAATACAATGCATGCAAACTGACGCCAATACGCTTTACATTAAAGAATTTTAAAGTTTGTAAAAATGATTTGCTGTGCATTATTATAGCCTGGTCTCCGGCGTGTATTGTAAAGTTCGCTTGGCATATGCCAATAATGGCGATCCAATATGTGCTGTTTAAAGTATTGCACCTGTATAAATTGATTTTTGTAGACACGCAATATAACTATATTGATATGCTATGTTGATCATTTGATTAATTATCAGAGAGCGCAGATCTGAGTATTATTCAAATTGTGTTTAATGTGATGTATATTTAAAAAAAAATAATCACTATGATAATCATTAAACCATTTATTCTGTAAAAAATCATTTAGCTTTTTTATAAGGCTGCTTTGTATAACATTCATACACTATTATGACATGAATATATTAAGCATGCACATTGGTATACTTAGAGCTGTAAGCAATAATCTCACATCTTTCTCCTTGAAACATTTTTATTGGAATACATTACCGTTGAACTTAGGTTTCATTAAATAATATTTTATTGCTAAAATATACATGTAAATACATACTTAACAACAGGTTTTCGAAATAATAAATAGCAAAGGGGCTGGGCCAAATTTGGTCATGAGCGATCCGTTCTCCCCCTGCCACACCCAACAAAAAATAAATAAAATAAAATAAGTAATACATACATATTTTATTTATCAGAAATGATATAACTTTAAAGAGATATCATAACATATTTATTACCTTTTATGAACCGTAGTAAATATATAATTTTAATTATATCTAAAATGTAAAGAAATTGCTACTACTCAGTAAAATATCGACATTCAGTGGATAAAAAGTTCTAGTTTCAGCACAGGAAATAACGCTTTGAAGTTTAAATAATGGACAATAAAATAAAAAGCGTTTAGCATCCTCCTAAAAAAAGAAACATAATCCCTAAATAAAAGTCAAAAACGGCAAAAAACGGCACGATCAGTTTATATGAACATGTTTATAGACAGTACCGGAAGTACAAGCTACTGTCCACGCCCTCTAGCACTTAAACTAGAGTGGCATGTCAAATTTAACTTAAATGGTTTGTAAAAAGTTCAGCCTATAGATTTTTACAATTATTTCTTAAACAAGCATATAAAACTGACAATATCTCATACCAAACAAAGCGTGTTTAGGTACTTTAGGGGCTTAAATGTTCTCACAATCTTAATTTGAAAATATCCAATCGTTAATTTCGGTGTATTATGTGAAGTGTATTCATTCATTCAGTAGAATGGTATGAATAACGTATTTTAAGTTTCGGTGTGCCTGGCTTTTGTCGTTTAATTATAATTGATTCCTAGTGAATAATTTGTTGTTTCTGAAAACTAACGAACATTTTCTAGGTGTTGTAGAGGTAGACCATTTTTGGCATTATATATCGTCACTAATTACTGTATTGTACGCCTATCTGAAAGGCAAACCAACCATCTTCTTGAACAAGGAAATTTATTGAAACCGATCTTGTAAAACCCGTAACTGCGCTGGCTGCTTCAAAATGTAATTGTTCGAATAATTGTTTTCATATAGTGCATCGGTCCCACACGACGGAGGCATGACCTACACTAATATTGGAAGAGTGTATAAGATGTAGATTTGAGCAATCGTCGTATACTAAAGATTACATTTTAATGCGCGCATGGTGTCTAATATTATGATAAAATAATTTGACCAATATGTTGGTAACATTTTAAATGCATTGAAAATGTAAGACATACGTGTTTATAACGATTTACAAAATCAATGAATTGTTAAAACATAGATTTGTCGTGCCGTTTGTAAATAATGAGGAAAGCAATACTTCGGTTTTATTAGGATTCAAGTTCTAACCATACATCTACTAATTGGAGATCGAGGTTTAAGATAACTTCTAAATAGCGCGTCTTGTCTGATGATGAACTGCCGACTGAAAAAAAGTGTAACTCTTTGACAATTGAATGGAGGTAAATAATCACGACTTGCTTCAAAATTAGCGTTTAAATTGCATGGCTGGTGACTTGTCAATAAGTATTCATGTGACAAGAGCATAGCTCTTTGGCATGTATCAATAAAGATCTTAATATTGATAATTGTAATAAAACCTGTTTTGGACAAATGTTATAAATGGGTATCCTGTCTGCTTTAAAATTACTTTTTGATTTCTTTACATTTTTTTACTTAAA